GGCTTGTCTTCTCATTCTCTTAATTATTTTTAAAAGGGCAGAAGTTTTAATTTTGATGAAGTCCAATTTCTCTTATGAATCATGTTTTTGGTGGTGTATCTAAAAAAATCTTTGCTTTACTCAAGGTTACAAAGCTTTTTCTCCTTCATTTTCTTCCAGAAGTTTAACAGTCTTACATTTTACATTTAGGTCTTTGATCCATTTTCAGTTAATTTTTGTATGTGATACAAAATATGGGTCAAAGTTCATTTTTTTTGTGTGTGGACATCCAATTGTTCCCGTATGGTTTGTTGAACAGACTATCCTTTTTCCATGGATCTGACTTTGCACTTTTGTAAACAATCAGTTATCCAGAGCCAGCCCTGATGGCTTAGCGGTTAAAGTTTGGCATGCTCTGCTTCAGCAGCCTAGGTTTGGTTTCCAGGTGTGGAACTACACCACTTGCCTGTCAGTAGCCATGCTATGGTAGTGGCTCACCTAAAACAGGAAGCTTGGCAACAGATGCTAGCTCAGGGTGAATCTTTCCCAGCAAAAAAAAAAAAAGGAAAATCTCTGTAAATCATGTCTATAGATTTACAAAACAGACTAGGAATAAAAAAGAAAAATCAGTTATCTATATATACACGAGTCTAATTTCTGGATTCTCTATTCTGATCCACTGATCTGTCTGTGCTGATACCTCACTGTCTTGAGCACTGTAGCTTTAGAACAAGCTTGGAAAGCAGGGAGTGTTGGTCCTTCAACTTTGTTCTTCTTTTCCAAAGTTGGTTTGGCTATTTTAGATTCTTTGGATTTTGCTACAAAAAAGCTTGCTGAAATTTTGGTTGGGAATGAATTGAATTGATAGATTTAGTAAGAACTGACAATTTACAACATTAAGTCTTCCAATCCACAAATACAGTATATATCTCGATTTATTTAGGACTCCTTTAATTTCTCTCATCAATGTTTTGCAGTATACACCACTTGTACAGTATACAAGTCTTTCACATCTTTTGTCATATTTATCCCTAAGAATTTAATATTTTTGATGCTAGTGAAAATTGCATTGCTTTTAAAATTTCAATTTGACTGTCTGCTGCTAATGTATACAACTAATTTTTGAATATTGATCTTAAATCCCGAAACCTTGATAAAACTTACTCATTAGTAGCTTTTCTGAGGATACCATAGGGTTTTCTACATAGATAATCATGTCATCTGTGAATAAAGACAGTTTTATTTACTCCTTTCTAAATCTAGATGCATTTCATTTCTTTTTCTTGCCATATTACACTGTCTAGAACCCCCAGGACAATATTGAATAGAAGTGGGGAATACAGACATTCTTGCAAAGACATACTAAAGACCAAGCTAATTATTCTGTTTGTCTCCAATAAAGAAAAAATTTCAGTAGCTATTGGATGAACAAAAAATAAATGAATGATGAGATTTTGGGAAACAGTCAAGTACTACTTCCTTAAGTGCTATAGAAAGAAAAAATCAGCCACCCACGGAGCATAACAAAATAGTGGGAAAGTTAATAATATACATTATCTGATAAGACCATGTAATCAGAACTTAACTGAACAAAGAGTAGAAAAAGCCCTTCGTGTGACTGTTCTCACACTATGCTTCTGTTGTTGCTTCCTTAGCTTGGCCAAGCAGTGTTCCCATAAGCATTTAATTAGCACTTACTGTGCTGTTCTAACACGGAGGGACCAAATGGAAATTTGCAAGTTTTAAAAGAATTACTTAAAATACTTCATGCAAATTTTAAAAATGGTATTTGGAAGAGAAACTCAACAATTCTCTAACAATGAGCAATCCCAAAGTGGAAAACATTCTCTCACTGATGTCTTCATTCATCTCTTAATTATGAAGCATAACAAGGATTTTACACTACTTATCTTACTTAATTTCTCTACAGTGTTTTAAAATAATGACTATTTCTACTGTCTTTGATGTTTTCCCATCCACTGGCTCCCACAGCATTAGCCAATCTTGGTTCTCCTGCTGATTTTTAGATTACTTCTTCTTGGTCTCCTTCCCTGATCTCAGGGCTGTGTCTTTAGTTGTCCTCTTTCTTCTACGTCTCTCTGTGATTTTATTCATTAACACATTTAAAGAGTTAAAGCTCTATTTACTTAATGGTGACTCAAATTTATATCCTAAACAATGATCCCTACATCTTATGACACCTGGGAGTCATGATGACACAGTCCTTTCTCTCACCCCTACTCATCTAATGAATCACTAAATCCTGGGTTGTTATGCCCAGATAAGTCAGTTTTTCTCCAAACCCCACTGATATATTCAGATTTTTTTTTTTTTTGCCTAGACCAGGGCAGGCAAACTTTTGCAAAGGTCCCTATTGTAAATATTTTAGGCTTCTTATATTAACATTGTAAGAAAATTTCACTAGACAGGCCTGAAGGCACTAGGAACAGTGCTATACTGGAGGCAGCATAATGTGAATATTGATTAGGAGGAAGCTGTATCCTTTCAGGTAAAAGATGATGGTAGGATGAACTAAAGTAGGGGCAGTGGGACTAAAGACACAGGCATGGATTTGGACAATAGTAAGCACACAGAATTGACGCAATATGGTGAGAGGTGAGGTAGAGAAGGGATCCAAGGATGCCTCCCTGTTTCCTGGGTAGGCAGTGGTCCCATTTACTGAGATAGGGAATATAAAAAGCAGTTTGTGGGGAGGGAAGCGAGTGGGGAGGAAGACACAAGTAGTTCTGTTTTAAAAATGTTGAACTTCTGGGGTCTGTAAGACATCTAAGTGAAGATATATAGCAGTTTAACATGCAGGTCTAAACACAGGAATGATGATAATGATGACAATGAAGACAGTTAACATTTACCGAGTGTTTATTATATGTTAGGTAATGTTTTAAGCATCTTACATGTATTAACTAATTTCATTCTTCCAACAGCCCTACAAGGTAGCTACTATTATTATTCCCATTTTATAGAAAATGAAATTAAGCACAGAGAGGTTAGATAACTTGCCTGAGATGATAAGTTGGTAATTGGAGGAGCTGGGAAGAGAACCTAAATTACCTGAATCTCAAACCCATACTTTTAAACATTAGGCTTTACTACCTCCCGAGACACATATTTGGGAATTGCATACATTCTGGAGAGTTGTTGAAGACACAGGAATGAAAATAGGTACAGAATGAAAGAAGAGGGCAAAGGATTTGGGAATCCTAGCACTCAAAGGATGAGCACAGAAAGAGGGGACTGCAAAGGAGACTGAGGAGTATCTAGAAGCAGGAGAAAAACTAGGCAAGGTAAGTGTCAGAGAAGCCAAGAAACAGTGTTTCAAGGAAGAAGTGATCAACTGCGTTTAAGGCTGTAGGGAAAACAGGTCATAAAAAGACAGAAAAGTGTCTGCTGGATTTAGTAACACAGAGATTATTAGTGATTTTGGTGTGAGCAGTTTTAGTTGCTATAGTCAAAGTAATTTAAGGCATATAAAAAATGGAGATGGTGAGCACAGAACATAGATTACACTAAAAAAAATCTGGTTGTAAAGGGCAGAAGTGGAAGCTTTAGCATGTTTAAAAGTTGAAGAGTTAAATCTGGAAAAATGGGAGAGGAGAAAGGATAATTGCCGCAGAGAGGTTCCTGAGGAAATGGAAATACACTGTGTAGTTAAGAGTGCAGGCTCTAGACTAAAATGCCTGGATTCAAATCTACCCTTTGCTACTTATTAGTTGCCTATCTTAGAAAAGTTATTTAATCTCCCTAAGCATTAATTTCATTGTCTGTAAAATGGGAATAATACTACTAAGTCATAGATATATTATAAGGGTTAAATGAGATAACGCATGGAAGAACTGGCACATAGTAAATGCTGAGAAAACATTAGCTATTGTTATTACTATGGGATCCAGAGCACAAGTAGAGACTGCCCTTCATTAAGAAGAAACACATTTTTGTCACAGAGAAAAAGGAGGCAATGATAGGAATACATGGCAGGTAAGTTTGGGGTGGGAAGGAAAAGACAGGGACTTCCTTATTGATGTTTTCTACGTTCTTGGTTAAGAACAAGGCAAGGCCGTTTGTTGGAGTGAGGAGCTGCTGGGGGAACAGGAGAGCAGAGAGCCCTGCTGGGAAGTGGTCCAGTGAAATATCAAAAGACCTCTACCAGTGAAAGCCCCGTGAGTCTGCGGAGGAGCCCAGATTCACACAGCTCCCTGATTTCTCCATCAGTGCTCAGCAACTCACATACGGAAGGGAAGAAAGCAGAATGATGGAATATCTCCAAATCAGGTTTTGATGGGCAAGTGTGATGAAAGGATGAGAAGTCATAGGGTATTTTAGGCATTAACAAGAGCGATTGAAGTGATGGAACACGAATTTCAGGTTGGACAGCAAAGAAAATAAAAACAAAAAAAAGATGACATTTTCAGAAAAAGTAAAAGGACCAAAGGACTAGATGTCTTGATGTAGTCAAGATGTAGGATTAGATATGAGGGATATAACTGTGAGCAAAATAGCTATAGTCTAGCTCTCACGAATCTTGCAGGCTGACATATAAGGTAGAAAATTAAACAAGTAATCAGAATTAAAAATAAAACGATGATAGAAGACTATGAAATCTTAAGGGGGTACAATGTAGGAGTACCTACTAGTTGCAGGATTGGTTAGGGAAGGTTTTCTATAGAAAGTAATTGTTAAGCTGAGATCTGAAGGACAAACAGGAGTTAGCCATGAGCAGAGGAGGGAAAAGATATTCTGTACCAACAGCATGAGCAAAGCCCAGATGAACAATGAGCACAAAGAGGCTAGGACTGAGAGGCTAACAGCTTGTAACGGTTGCCTACAAAGATACTGGAGTTACATCAAAACATTATAACCCCAACACGAGATTACTTAAAAAGGAAGGGTAAACAAAAAAATAAGCAGTCACAATGGTGAAAGCAAGAATTAAGATGTTGAAGTATATTTTAACATGCTGTGCACTTAAGTTCAAGATTTAGCTAAAAAGAAAAATACTGTACCTTTGAACGAAATGTTGGATGAACAAAATAAACAGCCTTCAAATTCCTCTTGTACCTGATTCAAAATAAAAAAAAAGTATCAGTTTAAGTCATGCCTAAAACCAGTCACCATTATGGACAATTAATTCTTTGCTTGTGTATATAAATACATTCACAGAGGAAAAAAAAATTCTTGTAATCAGCTCTAGTTTACATATTGAATTTTAGGTGAAATGTCAAAAATAACTTGGAGAACATTTTATTATTTAAAATACCTGTTTTATAGGAGATAATAAGTGTTTCTCTTGGCTATGATAGAACCACCTACCAGTAGAACAAAGTAAAATTATATTTAACAAAAAAATGTATACCACTTTTTTATATGACGCTAGAGTCTCTTGGATCAGGTTATGAATTAAACAACAGTAAATCACTTAAAATTATAGCAAAAATTAGAAACTGCAAGTTTCAATGGTCATATTACAATAATAAATATAGAGTTTACTATGTCCCAGAAATTGTACAAGGCTGTAGACTTAATTCTCATAACAATTCTATGAGCTAAGTACTAACATTGTCTCTATTTTAACCTTCCCAAAGTCCCCCAGCTATCAAGTGGTAGAGCCATAAATTGAACGTAGGCAATATGGCTCCAGAATCCTGCTCTTATCCACTATGCTGTCTACTCTCTCCAGATGTGACTGAAATTATTTCAACAGCCTATTAGTCACTACTGGGTCACATAAGGTTAATTGGAGAGGACCTCAGAGAAATAATACAAACTCTTCATTTCACAGTTGAGGCCTGTTCAAAGTTAAAGAGCTGGTTAGTGGTAGAGGCAGAATTACAGTGGAGTGAAGCTTCCTTACACTTATAACCCACATTTGGAGCAAGCTAAAAAGGTGTCTACTAGGTAATAAGAACTTTAATATTCCTAATTAAGAAGAGATTTAATGGGAAGAGAGAAAGATAGTTGGAAATTTATGGTAATTTGTCTTCTTTGTAAACTAATTGTAATACCGATTTTTCAATGCAATCCATAAAGATAATGTGATGCTACCAATAACAAAACAGCTACCATGAGGACAGAGTGCTACTTTTGCTTAGGAAACCTATTAATGAGAAAAAAATTTAAAGTAGAACATTCTATCTTTGCTGTGGGGGGTGGGGGGGGTGTCATATATACTCTGGTTAAAATTTTCATTATCCCTTCAAGGGAAGTATGGTTTAATGAAAGTAACTTTCTGGCTCCAACTTGGTAGCCTGGGTTCAAGTCCAAGTTCTGCATTTACTGTTGTGAGACCTTGGGCAGTATAGTTCACCTTTCTGAATGTCCATATTTTCACTTCTTTCAAATGTAGACGATATCTACATTTATCTATCTACAGATAGGACAAAGTAAATTCATATTTGACAAACTTATTGTGTGTCACTTTTTAATATGACACTAGAATCTGTGGGATCAGATTATGAATCAACAAACTCATGGGTCACTAGATCAAATGAAATAATGTTAATAAATATATTTTGATAAGTGTAACACATCTTATAAACCGAAGGTAGTATTTTTGTTATTTTATGTACAAAGATTGATAAAATGACCCCAAACCTTTTTCAAGGTGTTTAAAACCAGGGAAAAGTTTACATATGAACTTACTCAAATGCAAAATAAGCTGCAGTTAAGGAGGGTCTCCTATTATTAAAATACTTATGCATGATAAATATCTTTGTTACATGAAATATCCTTTCAAAGAATACATAGCAATGTTTGCTATTGCTTAATATTAAGAGAGAAAGAAGCTATTTCCCCCCCTTCATAATCTATAAAAATAACTAACTTGACATCAACAACGTCGTAGAGTTTCTTCAGGAAGTCAGAGTCCAGGTGATTGTATTCGCTGGTCAGTGTATGAAAATATACTAATACATATTCCTTCACAGCAATGTGATCCATTACATGGATAAAATATAAGAGAGCCTAGGAGAAAAAGAGGAGCAAAGGTAAAGATGATTTTGCATGGTAGTCTACTTCACAGAGGCCAAGAGATAGGAAAAACTCAGAAGATTTATCTAATCTATGCCCTGGGCACTGCAGATGGACATCTCAGACCAATAAGTTCAATTCTCTATAAAAGATCTTCAGGGGCCAGCCCTGTGGTTAAGTTCGTGCACTCTGCTTTGGCGGCCCAAGGTTTCGCCAGTTCGGATCCTGGGCAAGGACCTAGCACCGCTCATCAAGCCATGCTGAGGCAGCGTCGCATGAAGCAGAACTAGAAGGACCTACGGCTAGAATATACAACTATGTACTGGGGGGCTTTGGGGAGAAGAAGCAGCAGCAAAAAAACATCTCCAGGAAGGTCAATCATGCCAGTGTTTAATACTTTTTATAAATGCTACAGTAGGATCCCTTTTTGCCATGTTCTAAGTGATGGAGAACAATCAGTCCCCAGCCTCTCAAATAACTCTTCATATACTCAAGAGTTCTTTGGTCAACTACCAGGTTCTCCCTCCCTAGGATAATGATATCAAAATCATTATAAGTAGAATTTCTAGACTTTTAATTATTCTTGAAGTTTCTGCTTGAATTCAATGAAAGTCTTTGCAGTCTCTACTGAGATAAAGACTCATGGCTCTCATGGAATGAAGAATTACTATAAAAGGTCATTATAAGTGATGCCTTACATGGTTCATTTTGAGGGGTAATTTTCTTGGCATCTTTAATGTTGATCTGAATGAGGAAAATGAGAACAGATTTAGTCAGCCGAGAGTAATGGGCTGGGTAGCATTTCTAGGGCTCTGAAAGACTCAAATTCAATGTGACCCAGACTGGTTAGAGAAATATTCCATTACAAGAAGGATGAAATTTAAGAGAAACATTAAACACAAAGCAGAGATACAATATGAGCCGGGCCAGTGTGATCCAGTGGTGAAGCCAAAAACAGTGACAAAGAGGAAGATAAGAGATAACAACTGAAGGATTACTATCAAACAGGCTGTTGCCTAATTCCTCCTCAGGGGGGTCCCTGGCATCAATAGCGGGATTAACATGGATTAGGATCCAACTGCTGCCAGGGCAGACAGAGAAGGGCACTAAGAAAACACAGTGTCTTTCCAGTTGCTACCTGGTTTGGACTTCACAATATAGTTCATTATTTTATATGAAATGATATATCATGAATACCCAAAACACCATGAAAGTGCACACCAAAATCAAATGCTGTGATTTGTTTTTATTGGTATCAATCACATTATTAATGAGGAGAAGGTCATACGGACTATTAATAACACAAAACAAATGAACACAAATAGAAAGTAACGATATAATTCGTATCACTTGAGTTTTTCGTGTGTGTGTGTGTGTGTGTGTGTGTGTGTGTGTGTGTGTGTGTATCTTTATTATTATTTTTGCTCTTAGCAGATTGCTTCTGGTTCTCTGTCTATCCACTCTCCACGGCCTCCCCAGGGCAATTAAGATACTCATTTTCAGCTTCAACTTCCCCATTTTTAACTTAAATTTTTTTTCATTATAAAGAAGTATAGCCACATGACAGAAAAATATAGAAAACAAATTCTCCCCAAAACCATGAAATCTGTTTTGAGATATTTACTTCCAGTTTTTACCTTTCTGCTTAAAAACAAACAAAAATTAAGGTCAGTGTATATACAATTTAATGTATCATGTTTTCTCCAATTGATACATCATAAACCATTCTCTATAGTACATACCTCTACAACCATAATTTTTAAGGGTGACAGAACATTCCACTTGTGGATGCATAATAATCACCTATTAGGAATTTAAGTTACAATTTTGTGTTACAAATGAGCCTGTGAGTAACATGCTAGGGCCAGTGCTTTCACAATTTCTTTTACCCAAACACCAGTGACCAGGAGTCTAAGGACTTACCCAGAAGCAATTATCTGCTTGCACTACTGTTTTACCTTAAAATTCTGTGTCACTTTTACACTTTTAAGTATGTAATTTTTTTACTATGGTTAAGAATCACTGATTAGTTAAGGCGATTCTCCTCCTTTGCTGTCAGTTTCTAATAAAACTGATGTTCTAGGAAGATCTTCACATTTATCCCGTGGATTCACTTGTCTCTTGCCTGAGTATTACATTTTGGGTAGTTTCAGGGCCTATAGCTACTTTCACACTTCAGATTATTTCCTTAGTAAAAGTTCTCAGGAATGGAATTACTGAGTCAATGGATGTAACCATTTTTATAGTTTCAATTCATCTTTGATGACAATGATTATTATTTAAAAGTTCTGGCTAATTCCGAAGGTGAAAAAAGATATCTCATTTTAATTCACTTTTTTGGGACTACTAATCAGCTTGAATATTTTCTTATTTGTATTTACCAGTAACACCATTTCTTCTTTTATGAATCATCTAGTTCTGTCCTTTGTCTCCAAATGAAGGGATTATGGACTCATGACATCTCGGGTTAACTACATCTCTGGTTTCTTCTCTTCAGATAGATACTCAAGAGTAAATTTTTCGTTTTTCAAGAAAGGCAGAATTTGATGGTTAGTACAATTATAACACAGAATGATTCCAACCAAAACTTGCCAGTTACGTCATATCCTAAACAAAGCAGCTGTGTTTTTGGAGATCATATTATGGCATTCCAGTATTGCTGCTTCTCCTATAGAGCAAAACCAAACCCTTAACTTACGGAAATGATACGAGCTGACTTGCAGAACTAGGGCTCCTGCTCTGCCAGAGATATACGATTCTGCCTCATCTCATATTCCAAGCCCTGATTCCAAATTCATATCCTACTTATTTTTTAAATCAACATTACTTGTAAAACAGAGCCTTTTTAGGGCTTACCTTGTCCATATCTATTAACGTTACAGGAATGTTTCTTCCAACTACCACCATCACTGTGCGACCACAGTTATCGACACCTACAAACAAGAAAAATAATCAGCACCCAGAAACTTTATTCCAAGAGTCTGATTGGTCCTGGGCACTGACCTTACAAAAATATTCTACACAAATGCAAAAGATTGAAAACCAGGAACACAAATTTTTCAAATTTCATCTTCAGATTTCTTTTACTATGTGGAAAACACTTTTTTTTTCCTTCTAGCTTCATGAGGTTTTGGTGACTGTCCTTAGTTTTACGATAAGGCCTCTTACAGGTTTTAAATCAGAGACAGGCAAAGGTATGGTTTCAGGGCAAAGATCTTTTTATAACAGCTTTTTGTTCAAGCTTACTACAACTTTTAATAACATTAGCAATCCTAGAAAAACTAAATGAAATTCAAATCTGAAAAATTAACAAGTACTGTCTGAAAAAGAAATATAATGGAGAAAGTGGGAATCTGAGAACTTTCACTGTTACATATTTATGTCATAAATGCCATGTCATTATGTCATGTGTCATTATGTCATAACACCATATGACATATATGTCACCATTATACATTTATGTAAGGTTTGAATTTTGTATAGCAAGTACACGGTATTTTTAAAAGCAGAAAAAAAATTTAAAAGATAAGAAAAAGGACATTAAGAAGAAATGAAGCAGGCCAATGTAGAACTACAAGTTGAAAATTTTATAGGTTGAAATATTCTTTTTAACATCTTGACGATGAGCAAAAACTATCTTCATTAGCACAACATTTTATTCATAGATAAAATGGACAAAAATCAGAGAAAAATGAAGTCTCTAATAGCATGCAAGGTAGGCTCCTTAATTAGTAAGAGAATAAGTTATCATATCTTTAAGCTCACCTGTTTGGTATAAGGCTTTTAGAGAAGCAATATCAGACAGATCCTCAGATCTTGCTTGACATAACCAGCGATTATAACTAGAGAAATAAAGGATACAATTATTATAATAAACCTTTATAAACTAAATTTACAAACTAGACCTGTTTTTATCTTTCCCTGTTCCTAAAGAATAATGTTTTATTGTAAAGTGGAAGGAGTTAAAGAGGCTGTTACACAATGCACAGTCTCTACTATGTGTTATCGATAAAGTAAACACGAGTTACTGAGAAAGGAATGTGTTCATATTACATGATTAAAAAAATCTTATGATCACATGAAGACTACTCATATAAATGGCAAAGATACCAAGTACTCAAACTACCATTGTCTTTTTTTTTAAAGATTGGCACCTGAGCTAACATCTGTTGCCAATCTTCTTTTTCTTCTTCTTCTCCCCGAAGCCCTGCAGTACACAGTTGTATATTATAGGTGTGGTCCTTCTGGTTGTGCTATGTGGGATGCTGCCTCAGCATGACCTGATGAGCGGTGCCATGTCTATGCCCAGGATCTGAACAGGTGAAACCCTGGGCCACCGGAGTAGAGTGCATGAACTTAACCACTCACCCACAGGGCCGGCCCCTACCATTGTTTTTCAATACTATTATTTTCCTTTACCAAGAAAAATGCAAATAGAGAAAGTCTAAAGCAACAGTAATTCTCAAAAACAGATGTTCATTCAAAAAAGACTTACTGATGGTTTACTATATGATAGGAATTGAGAATGATACAGTGAATGGACAATAGTCAGTACCCTCAAGGAGTTTACTTTCGGATGGAAAACAGGTAAGTGTACATGTTATGTGGGACCACAAAGAAACTAGGTAATTTTATCTGGGATGTCCAGGTTTATTTAAAGACTGGCTAATCAAACCAGTTGTACTGATACACCATATACCAGATCACAGGGACTGTAGTCTGGCTTTGGCTAAGAGGATATTCAAGCTGGAAGAGATGTTGAAGACGTCAAAGAAGGGAAATGATCTACAAAAGGCCAAGTTAATCTTAGAGTTTCCAGCCAATTAATGGCAGAGTTGAATCTGAAGCTGCACTCAGGTCTCCAGATTTCTGGAGAGGTCAGTACTTTTTCTACTATTGCATACTGCTTTCTTAAAATTCAAAGTGCCACCTACTTGACTGTGAAAAATGCTTTCAAGGTACCTAAATGTACGCAATGCAACTCTGAAGTATCTAGGTCACATATGGCAACATCCCATAACACAAAAAATGTAAACCAGGAGAGGGGAGACTTGGGTTCTGATCTTCTCATTTTCTGTGCAACCTTAATAAAGTTGTTTCACCTCTATGTGAGGTCCATAGAGTTTCCTCATCTGCAAAATAGTGTTTATGTAGGACACTTTTCAGCTATAAAGTACAATAACACAACTAAGGATATTTAATAGGAAGTCTATTACATATTGATGATAATCAACAAGTGATATGCCTGCTAGTTTCACAGGAATTGTTATTGCTTGTGAAAAACACACTTGGTATTGCACAGTGCTATAGTTTGCCTTTTTAAATGTGGAAACTTGCCTACCTATGCAAATCGAAAAGTCAAAGACAATAGCTTTTAATTTTGGTAAAGATATAATTTGCAAGTCAAGAAAAGACCACTGGTTATTGTAGTTCTCCCTATTCATATGCACTATTCCATATTTTCACACAGAGTCATTTTCTAGTTTATTTACACTAAATCCTCAATGGTACTGTTTTCTAATTGTTTTAAGGTTAAGCCACCTCCACAATGAGACTAAAGAGAATAATATATCTTAAATCTCGTATGAGCACCACAGATCCTAGCACAAAACCTGTAACAGGAATTCAGTAAATACCTGTTAATTTCTATACTACTCTATTCACGTATTTTTTAGCTCATTTTTTAAAGATTTATTGCATAAATGCAATGCCTGCATCATAACAGCGACTCAAGTCCTTGTTGTATTAAATAATAAACATGAGTATTATTCAAGGCATTTTGGGGCCTGAGAAGAATAATAAAACGCCATTGGCTTCAAAGAGTTTAAAGTATATATATGAGACAGACACATGAAAAACACAATTAACTTTATAATGAGACAGAATGAGACAAGCAACGTAACAGATGTCCAAATACGCTATCCGTCAAGTATGTATGCTGAGGGGGACTGGTGGGGTCGGGGTGGTAGTGGAGCGAGGGAGAGTGAAGGGAAGGTGCAGACCTGTTTTAGAACTAACTGCTCCCTTCTTTGTACCACGAAGACTAGCACAAGGCTTCACCCAGTTATTGCTATGTTGGCTTCTACTCTGTTAGACCACAAGATAGGGAATATGTCTTACTTGTTTCTATATTTCCAGAAAATCTCTAGGGTAGTTCCTGATACTCAGTAATTCTGTGTTCAATAAACTCTGAAAAAAAAAATTTTTTTAACTGGAACTCAGGTGCACAAAACAGAATTAATCACCATTGGTTTAAAACACTTTCATCACTGGTACACGCATGATTCTCTTTAAAAATCTGGTTGTCTAATTAGTTATTTTTAGTGAAGTAATAAGCACTCCAGAACCTACCACCCAAAACAAGTTAGTACCCTCACAACAAACATGGTCACTCCCCTCCAATTCCAGCCTCTGCCTCTCTCTACCCATCATCTGGAATCTCAGGTTGATCTTTTTCTTGCTTTCTTCTTTATACCATTCTAATTCATCTGTATGTATTCCTTAAAAAATTATTGGTTGTTTTTAACTATTCAAAAAAGAAAAGTTCATCATGCTGTAGCAACCTTTTGGGTGTTACCTTTTTGACTTATTATATTGCTAAGATTCACCTATATTATTGGATGTCAACACTGTTCATTCATTTTGACTACTATGTATAATGTATTTATACTATACGAAAACTATAGCTTTTTTCATCCACTCTCATATTCATGGGCACTTGTGCTATTTCCAGTTTTTGCTACCATGAATAGTGCCACGATTAACTTATTTTACGTGTCTCCTGGTATTTGTCTGCATGATTTCTCTTGGGTAGATACCTAGAAGTGGAAGTGCTAGGTTATACGGTATGTTCAGTTTTAGGAGAAAAGGCCAAACCTCTTCCAAAGTGTTGTTAACAATTTATACTTCTACAAGCAATAAATAGGAGATCCTGTGAATCCACATCGTCTTCAACACTTGGTATTAGCAGATGTTTTAACTTTTACCAATCAACTAGGTTTGAAACGGCATCTCATTTCTGTCACTAATGATGTTGAGACCCTGTTAATGTTTACTGGCCGTGTTTTCCTCTTCTGGGAGATGCCTGTTCATACTGTATGTCCACTTTTCTATTGGGCTGTTTGTTCTTTTGTCACTTATTTGTAGGGGTTCTTTATATTCTTGATACTAATCATTTGCCAGTTGTGTGTACTATGGTACTCCCATTCTGTAACTTGCTGTTCACATAAGCTTCACTGCTCCACATTCTAAAGTTCTTAATTTTAATATAGTCAAAACTATTTTTTCTCTTTATGCTTTTTATATCTTCTTTAAGAAACCTGTCCTTTCTTCAAGGTATGAAAGATACTAACCTATAACTTTTATGAGTTTTTTTTTTAATTTAAGTCCTTAGTCTGTCTAAATCAATTTTAGTGCATGGTGTGAACTCAGAAATAGTATAAACTCTAAATGTTTTTATCCCTGATGTGTGATTAACAATTTGAGATCCCAGGATAGACTTGGTTGGCAAAATCCATATGAACATGTTTATGGGGAGAAAGTTTATAGCTCACATCAGATTCTCAAAGGCTTTATGATTCAAAAAAGGTTCAGAATCACCACTAAGACACTGGTGCTGTCCCAGTTTCTAAGGACCTTGAGATGAATTCCAATACAACAATTCATGACTGCAATTTCACCTGGTTTCTTCTTTATTCTAATTTAGTCTTCTCCATTCCCACTATAGATTGCCTAAATTTAATCTGATTATATAGTTACATTTTCTCTTTTTTTAAATCAGTATTTGGGGGGAGGGAATAAAAGCAAAAGATATTATTAGCTTTATCTCCTCATGCAATAGAGAAACAATGCTTTTCTTGTTTTCCTCATTTATTCAAAGAATGTTTTAAATTTTCCACTATATCTTATAAACTGCACCTCATTTTTTGTTGTAGTTTCTGTGTTTTATTTCAGTAAAGACATGCAATCTTTCATTTCAATCCACCAATCAAAACAAAAGCTAAAAAAGGAAAATTTCAACTCAAAATGGTTTCTTGTTTTTCTAGAGCTTATTCTAAATAAACAAATTTCTATTACTTGATGTGTGAAATATAATAATCATAGGTAAACAGTCACACAAAAATGTCATAAACTCAGCAAAAGTAGCAACTACAGTGCTCTAAAAACAGAAATACTGAATAGGTAATTTCTCAATAGGCTGCAATCAACTCAGGTTGGATGTTGTCCTCACAAAGCTAACATACGGCAATTTCTTCCAGTTAATCAATTACCAACCACCTGCAAGCCAAACATTAAATGAAGAAAATTTAAGCTAAATTACTCTTAAAAGACCAATAACTAACCCGTTTGTATACAACCAATTGCCCGGGAATAATTTTGGCTTTGGAATTAACAGAAACTTTTCCTGACTTCGTGCAACTGCCCCACACTGGCCTTGGTTAAGACCCTTGTTATATAACCTTATTGCACCCTGTAACTTAAATGAATTATTCAAATCAGAATTAGTTTAACATTTCTCTCCTCTGCAAGACCCTAAGCTGCATGAGGAGCTCCATGAGAGAGCTGTATCTGTCTTGCGTATCACTTTATTACGTTTGTAGCACAACACCTGGCACATGAGTAAGGGCTCAATAAATACTTAATAATGAATAAGATAAAGTTTTTACTGTGAAAAATGACATAAGAGTTAAAGGCAACTGGATCTTAAGCCAACCAAAGAACACTAATGAAAAATAATAAAAGTGACTGCAAAATAATTTTGAGTTTTAAAAACTATAACTTTGAAAAAGAATATCTAGTTTGCTTCCTAATCTTTGCAAGCAAGCCAACTTCTATCTTATGATACACCCAAATCAGTGTCACAACTGGATAGACCTGGAAATATTAATCAAGAATTTAACATGCCCAATTTTTTTAGATGTTAAAAGGAATTATTACAAAGAGATACTGATGTGGCAAGGCAATGCTATGAAAGGAATGATCTAATCCTACAGCCAATCCATGTAATCTTTAATTTTGTTACTGATGGAAGAATTGAAGCCTTTCAAAAAGAGATATTACTAACTAAAGACCGACTTACTTCAAGATAAAAACATTTATCATTTGCTTAACCTGATCAACTAATATAATCAACAGAAACCAAATTCAATATGTATAAATAAAAACCTGATTTAAAAAGAGTAAGAGAAATAAATTTTTAAAACTACAACTTGCAATCTTAAACATTCAGCATGAGGCAGAGTACACACGTGACTTACAGCTCTGTAATATCATAAACACCTAAACAATTGGTCACCAATTCTCAAACTTCTCGGTCTCAGGACCCTTGTATGTTTTTAGAAATTATTGTGGACCCTAAAGACTTTTTGTTTATGTCAGTTCTATCTATCAATATTTACCATATTAGAAATAAAAACAGAAAACAATTTTACATAATTAATTAAAAAACAATAAAAAACCTATTACATGAACATAAATAAGTTTTTATGAAAAAAGCTACATTTAGGGAGAAGAGTCACACACTCACATTTTTGCAAATCTCTTAAATTTCTGCTAGATTCTCACATCTCCTTCTGCATTTAATCTACTGCAATATCACATATTAAGTAGCAAATCTCTTAAATTTCTGCTAGATTCTCACATCTCCTTCTGCATTTAATCTACTGCAATATCACATATTAAGTAGCCTCTGGAAAACTTCACTGAACACTGGTCAGAATGAGAATGAAAAGGGCACATAGTCTTAGTAACAACAGAAAAATACTTTTAGTCTCAGAGCCTCCCTGAAAGGGTCTCATGGTCCCCAGACCACACTTTCGAGCTGCTGTTATTACTCTGAAGTATTCTGCAATATAGATAGAAGACCTCATCTTTAAGCATTTCAGACACTGGGCACCTAAATGGGAAATCTGGAAATCTTTTGATTCAAGTGTGGTTTATCACTCAAGGGAACTGAGTAGCAGAGATACCAAGCATTTGTTTCTTGTTTCAGGCTTTGGGAGCCAGAGGCGGTGCTGTTCTCCACGTGTGCAACTACACGTTGACTAGATGTGCACAATAACCTGACTGCTGTTCAGAACATACCCCTGACAACTGAAAGTAGTGTGGCTCACTCGTGAATTTCCAGAAGTGAGGGACTACTTTATTTATGTCTGCATATTTCAGTATCTAGAATGTTATCTTGTACAGAGTAAATATCCAATGTTTCCTGAAGTGAATGGAGATTGTCAACTGTGTAACAAATCTGAATCTCAACATCAAGGCCTTCTACCAATAAGAAGGACAATGCTTTAGATCCTGTATTCATATTCCTTCCTAGAAGTTACCCCTTTGCTGAGGACTCCTTTCCAGAAAGCCATGGACTTAGCGAATAAAGATTCACTTTAATACTGGCTTAAACTAGTCATTACAAAGTGAAACAAATCTCATTAAAAAGAGAGAGACACAGACAAGTACAAAGTCCAAACACAAAGATAAAAAATTCTAGATTATCTGTGCCACTCATGGAGAAATGGAAAAGGTATGTGGAGGGGGTGCGTGAGACAGAAGACAAGAGAAGAGAAGAGAAGCAAAGTGAAGCAGCTGACTGATTTGAGAAAGGTGCTAACAATGCAGTTCCTTGTATATGAATACAGAAGACTCTAGTCCTCCAACTTCTCCAGTTGATTTGTGTAAGTGGGCTGAAGACGGAGCTAGAGAAGGGAGATATGCTGCAGCAGCCACTTTGAAGGCTCCTCCTCAATTAGCTGTAACTCTGGGCAAGACACTCTTGGAGATCAATTTACCCTCTGTAAAGTAAAAGAAGTCAGACTAGATCAGTGATTTAGGGCAGAAAAGAATCATCTAAGAAACTTTAGAAGGAAGATTCCTGAGTCCTTCCCACAGAGGTTCTGATTCAGGAAGTTTGGTGTGGCGCCTACAAATTTTTAGCAAGTACCCCTCTAATGCCTATAGACTGTGTGCTCCGCTTTGGAAAACTCTATCAGATGATTATCAAAATTTCTTCCAACTAAAAGTACTGGTGAGAGACCACAGACCAGTGGTGCTCAAAGTGTGGTCCGCCGTCCCGAGACTTTTTCAGGGGATTTGAAAGATCAAAACTATTCATAATAATACTGAAATATCATTTGTCTTTTTCACCGTGTTGATGTTTGCACTGATGGTGCAAAAGCAACTGCTGGGTAAAACTCCTAGTGTCTTAGCATGAATCAAGGCAGAGGCACCACATTTTACTCGTAGTCATTGTGTTCTTCATTGCCAAATACAGAAAAAAAAGAGCCAGTTTCATTTAAGAATGTCTTTGATAAGGAGGTAAAAATTATTCATTTTATGAAATCAACCCTTGGGAACACATCTTTATAAATATTAACGTGTCACAAAATGAGAAAAGCACATAAAGCACTTCTGCATACCGAAGTATGAGGTTGTCTTGAAGAAAAGCAATGTGTGTTTGACTTTCAAGCTGAACTAGTTGCTGTTTTTCATGGAACACCATTTTTCTTCGAACAATGACCGGCAGACAAACTTTCATTATTCAACATGAGTATTTGGCAGATGTTTTCTCAAAAACAAATAAACTTACCTTGTCATTTCAAGAAAAACAACCAAGAGTATTTGATGCCAGTGATAAAACTTGAGACTTAAAAAATATATGTAATTTTGGAAAATTTGCATCCATTACCAGCAGCTTATAGTTCCTAATACTTAAAGACTTTTCTGATGAGATCAGTGGTGATTTTAACAATTATTTTTTGATACTATGTAATGAAATGTGTCAATATTTGGAAGACCTGAATAATTCAGTGAATCAATATTTTCTAAAAGACCAATGTATCATGCTATAAATTTATGTTATAAATTCCTATTATAAAATCTATTCAAAGTGCAAGACAAAACAACACATTTTAATACAACAGAATACAAAAATTCATGAATATGGTTTGAGATTGCACATTACAACTAAACTTTAAGAAACTACCATTTATCAAGTTATGATATAATATCACAGAAGAATATCCCCAATTATTTGCAAAGGCTATTTCCCTTTTCTAACTATGTAACTGAGGTCAAATTTTCCTCACATACTTCACCCAGAACAACTTATTGCAACAGTTTAAATGCTGATATGAGAATCCAGCTGTCTTCTATTAAGCCAAATGTTAATAGGCTTGCAAAAATGTAAAACAGTGCCATTCTTCTCACTAATCTTTTTTAAAGTTATTTTCGCAAAAACATAATAGGTTATTTTTAAACGAATTAATAAGACATTTCTCATATGATAAATATTGGTCGGTATAACCCATGTGAACAAAAGCTCTCTGGGGTCCTCAACAATTTTTAAGTGTGCAAAGGGGACCTGAGACCAAATAGTTTGAGAACCACTGCCCTAGACCAAAAGAGGTACCCAAACCTAGCAGTGCATGAATCATGATGTGAAAAAGTTTTAATATATATATGGATGCCAAAGTCTCAGTTAGGGGAGGGAGAGCCCAGTCACTGTATTCAAAAAAAAAAAACCTTTGCCAGATGATTCTTACACATGGCCACACATGGTTTAGAAACCATGGAAACTATCATTTAATTATGATTGCCTTTGGAAAAAGCTGTTCATTGGTGCCCCCTAGTGGTTAATTTGCTTTGCTTCTAAAAACATCATCAGAATAAAGTGAAAACTAGGAACTCAGGAGACACAAAACTCTAATCCTCTAAGGGACTCCAGAGATTATCTAGTCTAACTCCCACTTTACAGATGGAGACCAACAACAACCACACATCATTACACTACAGTGCGATAAATGCTATCCTGTGATTTGGTTAAGTACAGGGTGTGAAAAAAGCATACAGGAGAAGAAGGGATCTCTTCCAGACTTCTATTCCAACTATTCCAACTTACAAGATAGGTTTCCAGAGGCAACTGCTTCTAAGCTGAAACCTGGAGAATGGGCAGGAATTGAAGGATGAGAGTATTCTAAAGGGATGGCAAGTACCAAAGCTCACAGGTAAAACAGACTACGATTTGCTCAGTATTGAAGAGAACAGCAGTGACCAATTTTAAGAGCCTGCTAAGTACCAGGTGCTGTGCTAAGCTCATTACATTATCTTATTTAACGCTCACAACAACCCTATGAGATGTTACCCCCTCAACCAACCCTATAAGGAAATGGATAATCTTAACCATTTTACAGTTTATGATTTTTTCTTTCCTTTAAAAGTTTTTGAAAAGCAGTTAGCTCTGAGGACTGTTAATCCTTGGAAAAGCTTACCCATGTCTTAAAAGATTTATTCAGAATTGCTTTACGAAACATCTGAAAAAATGGAATGTTCTTATAAGGTCTTTGGGATAAGTCAGGGAGGAATAAAACTCTTTTAAATTTAATAAAACAGTAGATTATGCTTTAATTATAAATATATTAAAGTTAAATAAAAACTTTGTAACCCTGTCCTCCCCTTTCCCTAGTTTCTACCTTTAGAATATAACCTCAACCAGAGGCACTGCAGAAGGAACAGGAGCCCTGAAATCAGGCATCATCTGAACACTGGCTTCATCACACATTAACTGTGACCACTGATAAATTCTTTTACTTTGAGTCTCTGCAACTACAAAATGGAAACAATCTCTTCCTCACTGGATTGTTATAAAGAATAAATTAGAACACATTCTATGTGGGTCATTCAGCAGATGTAAGGCCCTTTCTTGTCTCCCCTGCCCTTACACGTCCATCAGTCCAAAGGAGTTTGCCTTACTTTCTTTGATGCTGCTTCTGCAGGGCTGCCTCTGATAACTGCCCCTGAAGGATCAGTCTTCTTTGCTTATCAATATCTCCTTCCATTCGAGCAAAAGCATGAGAGCCAATGAAAGAGAGATCAACACCCAAGCCTTCATCCTCTTCATGGTGGTCTGTAACAAAAATACTATCAATAGAGATCTCATGACGAAACTTGACAGAAAATGCTACAAATAGATTGTGAATGCTGCAATAGGGATGACTGTGAGGTAACTCCAAAGACTGGGGTTAGGGTTATTTTTTGAGAATGAAACTGAAATCAGATTCAGGCATTTGAAGAACTGAAATAATGAAAGAAACCACCGTCCACGTGTGACAGAAGTTCTAGGAATATATGAAATCAAATCAAGGTGACCTGGGTGTAACCTTAGGAAGGAAAGAACAGAACGTAATCATGAGTGAAAAGATAGAAATAATGAAACTGTATGGGTGTTTAAAGATGGACTGTAGCCCAGCAGTTAACAAGAAACATAAGGAACAAATATTTGGGGTCGTTTATTCAGAATTGTGTAAGGAGGGAGCATTTGATTGACTGGCATATACTGTCAGGTAACCCCCAAAGGAAGATGGATGGACTAGGATCGTGGGTTATGGTCCACATTCACTAAGATATGTTTTGATTCTAATTTAACATCCTGGTTTTACACACTGGTCATGCCTACATAATCATTCTGGTCCATAAGAGTTATAGTTCTCACTACAAATTAAATTAGACTTTCTGATTTATTCATATCACCACTTCATGTTTGGCTACTAGAAGCCAGTTCCTTGGGAGTGGATCATCTCTTAGTGTGTTCCCCACTGCATTAAGAGATCTGATAAAATAAAAAAAAAAAATTGTTAAAGAAAGGAGAAAAAAAAACCCTTGGACTATGGGGAGCTTCCTAAGGCAGAGCTACCACTTGAAGCCCATGCTGGTGGGCCATCTAGCTCGAACTTCCTCACGTCTACTTCACCGCTCCTCAAAATGTGACAGGCCAACAGCGTGGAAGAGCCTGCTTGTATTAAAAAATACTCATGGATGAAATCTTCTTTCAATCCCTCAAGTAAAACTGATTTTACAACTATTTTAAGAGATTTAACATTCTATTTGAAAATATTTATGAACACTAAGGCCTATATCTATGAGGTAACAATATTTTGTGAGATATAAATGCAAATCAAGCACTCTGAGAATGGTCAATAGAAGGGGACCTTTTGGCTAATGAGTCAGTCTCATTTCCTGCCCAGCACTGCCATCTCAAATTGGTTTTGCTATTCGTTACTCCTTGTCCTATAAAATGACTTTTCTGAATTTAGGAAAAATTACATTCTATAGTGGTGGTCACAATTATGAGGATTTCCAAATGACTCTGGGCATATTTCAAGGGTGTATAGTATTGGAGGCTCCCTAAAGTACATGGGCATTCCTGCAGGAAAACTTCGTTCATAGACCTTTCCTAATGCTACACCATTTATAACTCCCTCCATGAGATTTAAGTCTGTGTACTGGTGATGAGTGGCCTTCTACAGGTTTTAACTTAATGCTCATTTAAAAGTGTTCACAGTAGGAATCTCACAGTAATTTCGGTGAAATTTTAAGCTGCTGACTTTTGAGATCAAGTTCCAGCACTGAAGCTTGTGGAGCCTATCTCCATAGAAGGGATTTATGACCTTAAACATGTGCCCATGAAGACCTGCATAAGCTGTCATACAGAACAGATTCAGAAGGGCTCCCATCCTACAGTGCTCTACCATTGCTTCATATCTATGTGGGTATGTAACCTAAAGAAACAAAATAAATGGTTAAAGTATTCTTGTCTTAGTATTTAATGTTAGCTATGGCTTTTAGAGGACATTGTTGAAATTTTAGATGATAATGCACCTTACCACTGTCTCAACAGTGTCTGCCTGAAACTATAAGCTTCAAGAGGGTGAGAATGTTGTTATACCCACTTCCGAATCTCTACTGCTTAACACAGACTTAAGGTAACATATATAGATAGGTTTTTTAATTTAAAGAATAAATCTTAACAAGAATAAGACTCTAAAAACATCTCAGTTGGTCTTGATCTTAGGGTCACGCTAATAGAGAACTTCCCAAAGGTCAAGCTGAAATTTCTACTTCTTTGGTGACTGGTGTTCTATCAGTCCCTTTGCTTCCTTAAGAGGGAAATTAAGAAAGATGGGACTCACCCTCCGGAGCACCAGGCTTTTCACTTATTCTAATCTGTCGTTCAGGTACCACAGGCTCCCCTTCTGCATTTCCAATATCTGCAGGTAGGTATGGCAATGATCGACTCTCCTCTTTTAATGATCTCGGGAAGTACAGAGGTAGCAGCTTTTGGTAAGTAGCCTGTGTCAGAAAAGCAAGCCATTCTGTGAAAAATAATGAAGTAATGAAGCAGGCATCAGCAGTGTTTAGTGCTTAGTGTTGTTCCATACACTAGGAAGACAGCCTCCATCGAGAATAAAGATCTTACCACTTCTGAGCTCAGACTAGATGCTGTCTGGGTCCCTCAACTAGTTCTGTGTTAAAGATCAGGATATTGTTAGCTAGTCAAGTTAAACATGATTCCCATCCCAGCAATTCCAGGTCACTGAACCTGGAATGTGTAAGTCCTACCACTCCTGTCTCCAGACTCTTCCTTCACCCTACTAACGATATTTATCTTTCAAGATTCAGCACAGATGCTAACTCCTTAAGCCTCAGTGTGCCATCAGGGTCCATTTGACCCACGTTTAGTTTTTTTTTTTTTTTTTTAACAGTTCTAACTATTTATGGAAGATTGCTATTTCACGACTTTTATTCTTTCTTCAAGGTCTCCCAAAGAACAAAGATAAATTTTACTTTAAAAAAATTCATTTTATCTTATAATTTTCATATGGGTTGGCCCACTGGACTCATTTATAAATCCACAATACATTATACGCATCTTATTTTTCCTACATCTTGAAGCCTTTTGCTTTTCTCTCACCCTAGGAGTTATTTTATTGTTAGTCATCAATTATTCCCAACTAGACTAAAAAAGACTAAAATAGAATAAGAAATCAAAAGAACGATGGAATTGCCTAGGACAATAAAATCATTATCTATCAGTTTTCTTATTGTGTCACTCACAATTTTGCATCATCTTTCATGTACAGAAGTATATAAGGTTGGTATAGAAGAAGACTGGAGACATCATCTTTACAGTCTTTCTTCAAAAACTGAGATATAATTCACTTACCATAAAACTCACCCTTTTAGAGTACACAATTCCATAGTTTTTAGCATATTCACAAAGTTGTGGAATCATCACTACTATCTAATTCCAGTACATTTTCATCATCCCAAAAAGGAAATCTATACTTATTAGCTAGGTCATTCCCCATTTCTTCCTCCCCCAGCCCCTAGCAACCACTAATCTACTTTGTCTATATGGATTTGCCTTTTCTGGACATTTCATTAAAATGGAATACAGTACGTGGCCTTCTGTGTCTGACTTCTCTCACTTAGCACAATGTTTTCAAGGTTCACCCATGTTGTAGCATGTATCCATACTTCAGTTCTCTTCATGGATTAATAATACTCCATTGTATTATGAATACACCATATTTTATCAGTTCATCAGTTAATGACGTTTGGGTTGTTTGCACTTATTGACTATTATAAATAGTGCTTATACAAATATTTGTGTACAAGTTTCTGTGTGGACATATGTTTTCACTTCTCTTCTACATACACCTAAGAGTGGAACCTCTGCTTTTTGAGGAACTGTTTTCCAAAGCAGTTGTATCATTTTATATTCTCACTAGCTAAGTATGAGAGTTCCAATTTCTCCGCATCCTCACCAACACTTATCATTGGCTCTCTTTGTGATTATAGCCACACTAGTGGGTGTGAAGTGGTATCTCATTGTGATTTTGATTTCCATTCCTAAAGGTTAATGTTGCGGAGCATCTTTTCCTGTGCTTTTTGGTTATTTGTATATCTTTTCTGAGGAAATGCCTATTTAAAACGTTGCCTGTTTTTTAAAAAGACTTTATTTTTTTTAGAGCAGTTTAAGGTTTACAACAAAATTGAGAAGAAGCTATAGAGATTTCCCATATACTTCCTATCCCGACACATGCAGAGCCTCCCTCATTATCAACATTCCCCCACAGAGTGGTATGTTTCTTACAGTTGATGAGCCAACACTGACACATCATAGTCACTCACAGTTTACCTTAGGGTTCACTCCTGGTGGTGTTCATTCTATGGGTTTGAATAAATGTATAATGACATATATCCACCATTATAGTATCATACAGAGTATTTTCACTCCCCTAAAAATCCTCTGTGCTCTGGCTATTCAACCCTCCCTACCCTAATCCCTGATTTTTTAATGTCTTCATAGTTTTGTCTTTTCCACAATATAGCTGGATATATAGTTGGAATCATACAGTATGTAGCCTGTTTAGATTAGCCTCTTTCACTTAGTAATATGCATTTAAGGTTCCTCCATATCTTTTTATGGTTTGATAGCTCATTTATTTCAGCATTTAATAATATTTCACTGTTGGGATGTACCACAGTTTATTTATCCATTCACATACTGAAGGACATCTTGGTTCCTTCCAAGTTTTGCCAAATATGAATAAAGCTGCTATAAACATCTTTGTGTAGGTTTTTGTGTGGACATAAGTCCTCAATTCATTTGGGTAAATACCAACTTTTACCCATTTTTTAACTGAGTTGTCTTTCTATTGTTGAATTGTAAGAGTGGCCAATTTATCTATATTTATTTTGGCTGCTTCTGCTTTGGGGTCATATCTAAAAAACCATTGCCTAATCCAAGACCATGAAGATTTATACCTAAGTTTTCTTCTAACAGTTTTATAGTTTTAGCTCTTACACGTAGGTCCTAGATAGATTTTGAGCTAATTTTTGTGTATGGTATGAAGTAAGGGTCCAACTTCATTCTTTTGCATATGGATATTCAGTTGCTCCAACAACATTTGTTAATAAGACTATTCTTTCTCCACTGAATTGTCCTGGCAACCTTGTCAAAAATTCTATTCCATTGATATATATTTATTCTTATGCCAGTACCACACAGTCTTGATTACTATAGCTTTGTAGTAAGTTTCGAAATAGGTCGAGTGTGAATCCTCCAACTTTGTTCTTTTTTTCCCCGAGACTGTTTTGACTATTCTGGGTCCCTTGCACATCCATGTGAAATTAAGGACCAACTTCAATTCCTACAAAAACATCAGTTGGGATTTTGATAGGGATTTTGTTGAATCGGTAGAACAATTTGGGAATACTGCCATCTTGACAACACTGAGTCTTCCAATCCGTGAATGGGGATATCTTTCCATTTATTTATGTCTTTTAAAATTTCTTTCAAAGATATTTCATAGTTTTCAAAGTACAAGTCTTAATTTTCTTTTGTTGAGTTTTGTCTTAAATATGTGATTCTTTTTGATGCTAGTATAAATGGAATTGTTTTCTTAATTTCATTTTCAAACTGTTCATTGCTAGTATATAGAAACACAATTTATTTTTGTATATTGTTCTTCTGTCCTGTAACCCTGCTGAACTCTATTAGTTCTAATGGTTTTGTGGACTTCCTGAGATTTTCTATATACAAGATCACGTCATCTGTGAATATAGTCACGCATTGCTTAACAACGGGGATACCTTCTGAGAAATGAGTCAGACAATTTTGTCATTCTGTGAACATCATAGAGTATACTTACACAAACCTAGATGGTATAGCTTAGACACACCTAGGCTATATGGTACCAATATTATGGGACCACCATCATATACGTGGGTCCATTGTCCATCGTTGACTGAAATGTCATTATGTGGTACGTGACTGTAGAGACAATTTTACTTTCTTTCCAGTCTGGGTGCTTTTTCTTTCTTTTTCTTGCCTAAATGCCCTGCCTAGTACCTCCACAATACTGAATAGAACTGGTGAGAGTGGAAATCTTGTCTTGTTCCTGATCTTAGGTAGATAGCTTTCAGTATTTCACCATTAAGCATAATGTTGTCATGGGTTTCTCATACATGCCCTTTATCAGGGTAAGGAGGTTCCCTTCTAGTTCTAGTTTGTTGAGTGTTTTTATCATGAAAGGGTGTTGGATTTTGTCCAATGTTTCTTCTGCATCTACTGAGATGATCAAATACTTTTATCCTTTATTCTATTAATATGGTACATTACATTGATTGATTTTTATATGTTGAACCAACCTTATATTCCCGGAAAAAAATCCCACTTGGTGTTGGTATATAATTCTTTTATATGTTGCTGGATTCAGTTTGCTAATGTTTGTTAAGGATTTGTGCATCTGTATTCATAATGGATATTGGTCGGTAGTTTTCTTTTCTTGTGTGTAGTATGTTTTTAACTTTCATTGGACAGAGTTGGGAATTCAGAATTTTTCATTTTCAGCCCACAACAGCAAAGAGAAGACAACTGAACAAAGATGACATTTCAAAATTATTAAATGAATCAAAGATAAATGCAGAGACAGACAGTAGCACTTTAATGACGATGATCAGATTGGTCATATAAAGTGAAATCTCAGACACTGAGATGACAATATTCTAGATTAATTTTCTCAAATTCAAGAATCTATGAACTAACAATACATTTCTAAGGACAAAGTGGAAATATGGCATTCTTATTCATTTAGTCATTCAACAAGAAGGAGTTGATCATGCAGTATTTTGTGATAATAACCTGGACCATCCCATTTTCCTAAAAGGACATAAGACAGTATTCTTTCATCTTTGTGATGTTTGTGCAACAAAATTTACTTGATACAAAGAGGCTGGTTATGTTTAAATTCTTATTGAAATGCCAAATAAAATTGTTTTTCACTATCCCTTTGTTCTTTGATAAATTATCATAAATGACTCAAAAAAAAGTCCATTGGACAAAGACAATAAATGTTAACGACTGCTTTTTTCAGGTATAGTGAAAGTAAAGAATTTTTCTCTGTTCCCCTGGGTTTGGGTTAGGTTCCCTGATATATTACCATAGCACCGTGATGCACATTCCTAGCACAGCATGTGCCACACTGCAGGATGGTCTTTATCTGGCTGTCTTGCTATTAGCCTACAAACTCCCTGAGAGCAGGAACCATATCTCATTTGGTATTCTGTTCTATGACATTGGCCAAATCTCTAGCCCAGACTTCACTCCTCAGCTTTAGACTGATATGCACAATGGCTTGCTGATCATCTGTCACCACACTCCACTATGATTCAACACATTTAAAAGAAAATCTGTCTTCATCCCCGCTCCTCCCCTATCCAAAGACTTTTCCACTTTCTACTTGCTCTCTCATTGGTGGCATCATTATCCAGTCATCCAAGCCAGAAACCTAGGAGTCATTCTTAACTTCCCTCTCTCTTTTCGCCTACATATTTATGACCATAAACTCCAGCTGAATTTGTTTACTAAATATTTTTTAAACTTTTAACACCGTGAGTGTTCTTGTTCAGGCCTGATCATTTCTCACTTAGAATACTGGGACCACCTCTTATCTCTTGCCACCAGTCTTTCTCCTTCCAAATCATCCTCCACACAGCTAAAATAGAAATGAGACCACATCATTTGTCTGCTTAAAACTCTTCTATGTTTCTCCAACGCACAACTGATGGAGTCTAAGTCCCAGAGCATGAGACACCAGGCCTTGAGTGAACTTGTTCCTGCCTAACTTTCACTTTTGCCTCTCCCAGCCTCACATGTTATGCAACAGCAACACTACACCCTGTATGTTATTTCTTACTTACATGCCTGTGCTTATGCTTACGTGACTATTGTCACTTGCTCCTCCCTTGATAAATCTTACTCATTTTACAATGATTTCAACTTTATATCACCTCCTATGAGAAGGATTTCTGAACCCTATGCCAGGCTGGAGTTCTGTATTCCTATCCTTCCCATACCTCCCCTAATGTACTTATCACAATTATCATAATTTATCTGAACTGTCTGTCTCCACCAACAGACAACGAGTTCCTTGAGGACAATGACCACGACTTGTTCACTGGTGTATTCTCAGGACCTAGAGACCTAAACCTAATAAATGCTAGACACTCAATAAAAGGTCACTGAGAGAATAAATGGATAAACAAGAAGAGAGAGCAAACAAAGTAAATGTATCTTATTTTAGCAAACTCAAAAGTATTTATATATCATGTATGTAGCTATATATACTTTGCAAGGATATTTCACATGTATTAACTCATTAATCACAAAACTCCTGTGATATAAGTACTATTAGTATTCCTATTTTATCAAAGCATAGACAGGTTAAGTAACTTGCCCATGGACAGAAAACTGGGAAATAATACAAGCTGAACTGGACAGAGCACACTACAACTAAATAAAGCTTAATAAGATAAAAAAGAAAAGAATCTTCTAAAATGGCTCTAAAATCAAATTGAAACATACTAAACCTAACTACATACAACAAAACATAAACCTCACAACTTAATGTAGCCACCTGGCTGGGCTGTCACCTGTCTCCAGGTCAAAGAGACCCCAAAACTTTCCCAGCACAGCAGTGGTTATGCTGCCAGGCACCCAGTGCTTAGGTTATAACGCAATGCCTTGAGATGCCGTGAGAGCTAACACAGGCAGCAAAGCAGAACAACTCCATTTCATTAGATTTCACTAAATGACAACGGTTTAGCAGTGAAACAAAATGAACAAAATGCTCCTTCCTGACTTGTTTTTAGTCTCTAATATAGTCTTTTTCAACAAATGATGGTAAGCCCCACTGCCAAATATATACAGCTAATTAGTAATTGCCTGCTGGCAATACAGTAAATAGATAATGAGACAAAGGCAAACACAACTAAAAATAAGATTTAAAAAATGGAACACAATTAGCGAAATACCTCTTCAAGTTCAGAGACAGCAAATACTACTTTTTCAATGGTCTCCCCATGAATCTCTAGGAATCTCCTTACAGTGCCTAAGGAAAAGAATAGAAAGATTATTCAATAAATAAGACATTACTTATGGGTAAAGAAAAATCAAACTCTTCAAAGTCTTATTTTTGTAATGGATCACTCCTCATTTCCTTCAGGTCTCTGCTCAATATCAGTGAAGCCTGCCCAGACTACCCTATGTGAAAACCCTTCCCTGACTTGCTTTCCTCTAGAGCAACAATTATAGCCATTTTGTGGAGTTTCTTGTTTCTTGTACATCCTCTCTGTCCCCCTGTCCCGTCGACTAGAATGAAAGCTCCATAACAACAAGAGCTTTCTTTTATTTCCTGCTTTATTGCTAATGTCTAGAGCACTGCCTGGCTAGAGAAGATGCTGATTCCGGACAATTCTCCCTTATCCAGCATATTCTTTTTATTCCCAGGGGCCTCTCTCTGACCAGAATGATCTAGCACAAGAATCTTTCCATTCATTTAGTTACAGTATTAGATGTCCTACTTAGCTCTTCATCCCTGTCAAAATCCCATCAAACCAAAGTTGAATTATTTTTTTCTTAATTTCTACATTATCCTGATTCTTCTCTATCAACTTCCTAATAGCCTTTCTCAGCCCTTAACTTACTAGACATCTCTCCAGCTTTAGTCCTAAAAGTCCAGGTTCCACCTTTCAAAAATGTTGTCCTCCAGGGACTGTCCTTCACATTTTTGGTTTTCTTGATATATATACAGTTTAGCTCACTAATTTGCTGGTTAGATACTACTCCAAATGCTGATAGCTCCCAAATCTTTATATTCTGTTTTCTGATCAAAAGACCTGAATTCCCTACTGCCCACTGGGCACATCTGCCCACATAACCCAGAGACCTCAAACCCAACATGCCCAAATCTGACCCCACCAGGTCCAAACCTGACCTCCTCTTTCCCCTCAAAACCTGCTCCTCGACCTGTATTCCTTATCTCAGTTACATAACAACATCCAAATACTCATCCAAGCTAGAGTCCTGAATTTTTTGACACTTCCTTCACCTCTTCCTTCATCCTGCATTTTCAGTACGTTAGCATGTCCTTTAAATTCTCTTGCTGCCATTTCTAACATCCATTCCTTCTCTCTTCCAGCTGCTCTCAGGCTCTCAATGCTTATAAAGACTTTGGCAACAAGCTCGACTGTTCTCTTGTTTCTCTTTCCCAAATCTACATATTCACTGTTGCCTGAGTTATCCTCTTATGCTACTCTCTTCACTAAACACTTCTGATGGCTCTGCACTGTTTATAGGTTAAGATTCAAAGTCCCTAACATGGCTCACTCTGACCGCAACTAACCCCCCTCCCTTAGTCCTATTTCAGATTATTCCCCCCACATGCTTTAGCCAAATCAGCTTCTTTTCTGTACTCAGAACACGCCACTTACTTTACACTACCCTCCCTACCTCTGCCTGCATGGTTACCTTCGACTAGGATACCACTCACTATCACTTTCTCTTAGTGAACTCCTACTCATTTTCCAAGACCCAGTCAAAAGCTATCTCCTTTGTGTAGAACTCCACTCTTTCTTGTGCTCCTCCTGTAATCTTCTGAACAATCCTCTATTCATGAACTTTTCACAGCACTTTATAGGTAGACTATGAGCTTTTTGAAGGCCAAGTATATTTTACATTAATATCACCAGGACCTAGCACATCTTAGGAAGACGGCAAGAAATCACTCAAAAGTAACTAGTAACCTAATTAACATTTTATGGCTCCGGTTATCTAAATATTGCCTGCCTTGTTCACTACTATATCTTGAGAACCTAATAGAGTAGACCCATTTGTTAAAGGAATGAACAAATATTCATAATTATCCCTCTGTTAGGTAACAAATTTACTTTTCATTTCTCCCTCTATTCTGCTTTAATAATTTTTTAAAAATGAACTTTGTAAAAGAGATTTTCTTCTATTCTATTTACTTTGACACCAAGTTTTAATGTGCATACACAATAGTCAATTTCCTAGTTTGTAACTGTAGGATTTCCTTCGGAAGACAAAATACAACGCCAAATAGTATCCAGTTTGAATTCCCTCACCAGAGTTCATTAAGTAATTCTACAAAAGGAGAAAAAAAAAAGTCATGGCTATAAGGCTGTAATGCTTAACTGCCAGTTCAAACTGTTCCTTTCAAAGTTTGATCTGTGCACTATTCTCTGCAACCAACCAGGTTGTCATGTGTCTAACTTTTAGTGAAAACCTTTTAACTGGTGGGAATGACATCTGCGACATTAAAATTCCCAACCTGGAAACAACAAGAACAAACACCATTGTCTTTTTTCTCACCACTGTATCCTCTTCTATACAGCACATAGCCTAGCACATAGTAGTCACTCAAAGTTTTGTCGAATGAATAAATAACCTGATAAATTTTTTCAATGCAGATGTTTCTTTACGCTTCTTCTGGAGAAGAACTGAACTGCACATCAACTAAGAAAAAGAAGATAAATAGTCTTGATATATCTATCAAGAAGGTATTACTTAGGTTTCAAATGAAATAAAATTCAACAATAGCTTAAGAAGTAAGAAAGATTTGTGTACTAAGGACTTACAGTTACATCATTAGATTTGTTCTTGGCTCATATATGCTACAAAAGTGTACAAGACATTTGTTTCTCAAATGCTCAGAAAGTACAGGAGCAAAGGGTCCAATTGTTTATGTGTATTTTCTTTAATGAGATGCTATAGTTTTGCTACTAGATTTAAGGTGTATTAGATAAGTCTTAAAAATATAAGTTAACTTGTCCACCTTAAGAGCTATATTTCCTTTTTGCTAATTAAATTCCCAGAAAAGCCTTCATCAAAGTCTCTTATATTCACTGTTGATCTTTATCTGCTATTACTGGAATTACTGCTCAAAGCTGACAACTCTTATAGTACTGTATCAAGTGATTTCTCTGGGGCCAGAGAGCTAGAGTTAAACAAGTAGAACTGGGGCCAAAAACCAGTCTTCTTGACTACCTTTTCAGAGCCTTTTTCTACAAAATGATGTGTCTCTCTACATTCTAATCCATATGATTACTTTAACAAGAAAGGGAGACATAAAAGAAGGCTTAGCTCAAGCTATTTGATGACAGGGCGAGGGCTAAGTAGAATCAGAGGATGTTGAGACCCGCCAAAGCCTTGCCAGGAAGAATTATACAAAGGCAGGAACTTTGCTTTGCAAAGGCATCATTTAGAATACATGCATGCTACTTCTAACATGGCAGTGTCCCACTGAAGCAGTTCTAACTCAAGCATAACGAATTACCTAGTATAACAGACAGCTTACTAGAGTGGGAGTCAGCAGGCCTGGATATATGTTCTAAGTCTGCATAATCCTGAGAACATGACAAATGTCTGAGCCTTTTTATTCATAAAGTGAGTATCTACCTAAAACACAGGGTTGTTGAGAAAATAAAACGGAATTTCTTTATCCCCTTTTAAAATACATATTTCTTGAGCAAGTACCATATGTAAAGCATTCTTAACATATGGAAGCACTGGAAATACAAAGATGAAAAAATAAGTTCTCTGCTCCTCAATAAGCTCAGTCTAAATAAAGTATATTAAGTATAAACTGTAACTATAAAACACATAAATTTACAATAAAATCCTGAACAGTAAGAATCTTAGTTTTAAAAAATAGCTCATTATTAAAATAAGATGATTTAAGACTAAACAAGCCCTCACCCTAAATTCTAGACTATATAATAATTTATACATTCAAATTCAAAGATCTTAGTACTAAATACATAAAAATAAAAAAAATCTTTGTAATTTTTTAGCAGATATCATTCAGCTCCTCATATTTAAATTCTAGAGATAGAAAGGGGTCTTAAAGATCATCTAGTACGGTTTCCCTCTTAAATGAGGAATGTTTTCTATAGTATCTGCAACCGATGGTCATTTAGTCATTACATAAATGTTCCCAGCGACAAAAAGTTCACTTAAAATACCTTTCTATTACAGATAGTCCTAACTCAAATGGGACCAAAATCTCTCCTTCCTTGTCACTTGGTCTTAGACCTGCCTTCCACAGTCAGAGGTCTTATCTACAACCATTACAAAAATCTGTAAACTGCCTGAAACGTAAACTCCATATGTATCACATTCCTTTGAGGAAAGGGTCCACAGCTTTCTTTCATCAGATGTTCACTGTAGTTTAGGACAACCAAAGAGGTTAAGAATCACTGCTCTAAAAATGCCACATACAGCAAGTCCACAATGAGACTCTCAGGTATTTGAAACACGCAGTATACATGCTAAAAGCATGCCCTTCTCCAGGAGTAATACCACTAATGTTTCAAAATGCCCTCTGGTTTCTCAATGTTTCATGAGACATGACACCCAGAACTATATACAAAACTCTAGATGTGGCCTGATCTGCATATAATACAGTGAGATCACAGACTCTCTCAAGCTGAACACCATATTTTTATATCACATATATGACATTTTGGCTCATAATGATAGAGTCCATTCCTTTAAAAACTAAATGCATGGCTTTATATTCAAATAACATATGCACAAGCTGCTGTTTAAACTGCAAATTGCTATATGAATCTGATATTATAAAATCTGTTTTGACTTCATTGTTGCAGCCTGTTAAGATTATTCTGAATTATGATTCAAATACCCAATGCCTTGGCCATCCTTCTTAGCCTGGTATCATTTTAAAATTTAATAAGCAAGTCTTTTAAGCCTTTATTCAAATGGACAAAAACATCAACCTAGGAAAGTAAATTGAGAGCTCTGCAACTTGCCAATACATATAAACTTCACTCCGGGATGCCATGATCAGTTAATCAACAAATCTTCTTTGGCATAACTATTTAACTAGTGATACAAAAATTTTTAAGGCTCAATTTATGTACAACATTCCCAATCCTGCCTATGAGGTTCTATGTGCTTTTATGTACAGCACCTCCAGTATTACTTACGAAGTGCTATGTGCGTTGCATCCTCTAAAGGATAACCTCGTTTTGCAGAATTGATGACACAGAATCCAATAGAAGACATTGATTGCTCTCTGCAACGAAACAGAAAACACAAAAATTACACTACAAATAGTCACAATATATACATAATACATATCCTGTTAAAATATGCAGCTTAACTTCATCCCTGCCCCTTCAACAAATCTACTATAATAGTTAACCCAATTGCACTTTTTAATAATCACATTAAGATAAAATTTAATTGCACCATTTGGGGGAAAATAATCCAAGTAAAGACTGAGTAAAATGGGAACAGTTAAATTTTTAAGTCACCCAAATCTATTCCTTTTACTCCGCTAAGTTTGAGAAGATAATCAATTCTATTTGATTATTGATTTGAGAAGATAATCAATTCTCCCTGATTCTTCAGAGTCCTCCTAAACTATCTAAATCCCTCAAAATTTGACTTGCATAGCTAGGTTTCATTTTAAAACCGAGGTCTTTAAGAATGTATGCATGCAATGTCCAGGAAATGAGTAAGTCATACTTTGCCAGCTGAAGTACGTTTCTGTAGCAGCTGTACAGGGAACTCTCAGCTGCTGTGCGATAGCGGCTCTTATATTTGGGTCCCACTGTGTGAATGATGAACCGAGCAGCTAGATTAAATCCTTTCGTCAATTTTGCTTCACCTGTCCGGCAACCTAGGAACAATGGAGCACACATAAGTCATGGAGGTATTAGAAAACAACAACAACAAAACAAAGCATAAAACAGAGAAAGTATTAAGAACTTTTGAGAAATTTCAGTTAAAAGTATGGACTGAACACAAGCAATTATCTCTGTTCTCAAAATGACAGTGAAGCAATACAATAGGTATAAAAATAGAGACAAAGAAAAGAGAAGAAAACATGAAACAGATAAACATCATCAAAATTTTGGAAGATAGAAAGTCAATGGACTAGAAGTAACTGATTTAGCAAAACAGAAAAACCTAAGTGCTTGCAGAAATGGAGAAACCACTACGAAGCAAGCTGGTCTGTACTGAAAGGCAGTGCTGGATTCAAGACAGACTGCTTTGATTCAATTCCCGAGGCCACCATGTTCCAGCTGTGACACTTTGGGCAGATGCTTGGTCTCTCCATGCCTTGATTTCCTATTTAAAGAGGATACTAGTAGTACTCACATCACAGGATTAAATGAGTTACTATATGCAAAGAGCATACATGCATTAGCTATTATTGTTGTTGTTGTTGCTGCTATTGCAGAACACTAAAAAGGCTCCGAAATTGGAGATCCTAAGTACTTTTAAAGGCTATGATGTGAAGTGGGACTAAAAAGAGAAGGCTGAGTTAAAAGTCTGCATAAAAACAGTCAAATCTCAAACAACCCCTCTCTCAGCCAACATAGCAAGGTGATCATGTCTTTACCACCACAGCAGTGGGAAGGTTTACTCTCTGGAGATGCTGAACTAGAGTTTCTGGACAGATCCCTAGGCATAGGTAAAAGGAGGGGATTTAGTTAAAGTGTTATATTTAACAATGATAGCTCTAGATCTCTGCTCCTAATTGGCTTCCAAAACACAGACACCCAGGCTTACACTCCTGGAGGATTCCTTTCCAGGAAACTAAGGGGCCCAAACCAAAAGACCTACAGATTCTGATAACTGAGGGAGGTTCCCCAACAAAACAAGAGGGCTGGCTCATCACCTTCTTCAAGACCCACCAAGCAACAACCTTTGCCCATCACACAGAGCTTCCCATGAGCTTCTCAGTTCCTCCTCTTAAACACAGCTGACACTCAAGGACCACCAGAAGTGAGGAAAGCATCTAACAAAAGAGGGGCAGAACAAATGCTCAGAAAATAGACAATGTAGGGAAGGAAACTTAAAAAACAAACTAAAACCTCCCAATACCACAATTACTGCTCTCGGAGAGATAACAGAAGATAGAGTACTTCTGAAACAAAACCAGAATGTTATAAAAAAGGAATATTCAGAGGACAGGAAAAAGCACGTATAAAAACTGTTATAGTTAAGTGAAAAATATGACAGCAGAAATAAAAACTTCAATAGATAGGTTAAAGCTAAAGTTGAGGAAATCTTTCAGAAAATAAGAGCTAAGAAATATGAAAATTGGAGGATTAAACAAGGAGAAACAACATCCAATAGGATTTCTTTAAAGAGAAAACAGAAAATACAGAGGGAAGGAAATTATTAAAGAAATGAAACAAGAAATTTTCCAGAACTGAAAGACAGGAGTTTCTAGACTCAATGAGCCCACAGAAGACCCAAACCACAGCAAGGCACATCACTGTGAAATTAAGAGAACACCAGAAATAAAGATGAGATCAAAAACTTTGTAGGAAAGAAACCAGTAGCATAAAAAAGGATCAGGAATGAGAATAGCATTGGTTTTTCAAGAGCAATAATAAAAATAGAAGACACTGGAGCAATGCCTTCAAAAATCTGGAAAATGATTTCCAACCTAGAATTCTACTTCCAACCAAACTACCAATAAAGTGTGAAGGTAGAAGTAAGATCTCAGTAATTTTTTCTTTTGGTGAAAGATTGGCCCTGAGCTAACATCTGTTGCCAAGCTCCCTCTTTTTGCTTCAGGAAGATTGTTTCTGAACTAACATTCATGCCAATCTTCCTCTATTTTGTACATGGGACGCTGCCCCAGCATGGCTTAATGAGTGGTGTATAGGTTCGTGCCTAGAATCTGAACCTGTGAACTCCGGGCACTGAAGTTTAGAGTATGAACTTAACCACTACGGCACTGAGCTGGCCCCAAGATTTCAGTAATTTTGCTTCCTTCCACCCTTCTCAGAAATGTCCTGGTAGATTTATTCACAAAAATGAAGGAGTACATCAAAGAAGAGAAAGGCATGAAATCTAGGAAATGGGGCAATCCAATCCATTAAATTTTCTCGGGATGATAATTGTGCAGCAGGCATAGACAGCACCCTGGAGAGGAAGGAGAGGATGGAGAGTGGGGGAGCCAAGTTCCAGGAGGGACTTTATCCAGAAAAAAATGAAGCTGAAAGATAAACAGAAGTGTTTGACTTTATTGAGAGGAGGTTTATAATTACATAGAAAAGTTTGGGATTGAATCAATGATAGGTACATAGAAAATTTAAATAATGAAATCAATTAATAACCTAGAGGAAAAATAGCTATACAGAAAGAATACTAATCTGTTTTCTAATCAGCTCTGGGCAATATTTATATAGTCACAATGTTAATACTGAATATTGTTTTAATAAAAATTTGACAGGCTATTTTGGGAAGGTGGTGAAGGGGAAGAAGATGTTTGAGTGTTGTACGTACATGTAAAAGAGAGGAGTGGATAAAAGAGAGTTTAATCTTTAATTGCCACAATAAGTCAACAGATAATGAAAAAATGAAAAAAATCAATATAGCAGTTTGAACATATTATCTGGAAATAGAAGATAAATAAGATAAGGGACTTAAAACGCTTGAAAGTATTTGCCCCTGGAGAAGAGGAATCGAGATAACAAAGAGAAAGGTAGAGGACTGTTGCTTTCCTTCATACATTTTGACATAAAATTCTTTGACTTTCAAAGCTACATACGTTAATCAATGAAAAGCTCTAAGCACAAAATGATACTCAAAAAAGAGAAAGGCAGGAAAAACTCACTTGGCACCATTTGAGGCAGCTATTAAACCAATTCTTTATTTTGAAAAATGGTAATTACAAGAATCAAGAATTTATCCTGCCCCTCTAACAGAACCTATAATTCAGAGTAACCACGTAATGTCAGTTAATGAGGAAAGGCTCTACTTTACAGAAGAATGCCAGCTAGTGAACGTGGATGGAATGATAGATTTTAGAAAAACATAACTTCATAATCTTAATGAAATTATTGATTCAGACAAGGACTAGAAATTGTTGCTAAAACCATTACGTGAATGTGTGATGGGGAACTGTACATTTACAGAACCTAAATAACACCATATTGATTACTTTCAGTCATAAAGGATAAAACATAACCGTACAAATGGAAGGATCAAACTGTCATCACTCCATTCCAGAGAGCCATCTCAGTACCAGTAACGGTCCACTAAGGGGTCAATCAGATTTTATACCATCTAATATGATACAACATTAAACACACAAAACATCACCTACAAATATTTTAGCCAAACTTGATTCCATTAGCTCTAACTTCCAGTTTACAGGAAATACAAGGGATAAAGCAACAAACTAAACAGCACTACAGGCGAATCAGATAAATCCAGAAGGTGGGACATCTTGGAAAACATCTTGGCTTAGTTCACTCAACAAGTCAGGGTCATAAAAAAGGGATTGTGTTAGATTAAAAAAGAAAAATTAAAGGATATAACAATTAGATGCAATGTGTGGTCCTGGATTGGATACCTGTTTGGATAACTAGCTGCAAATGCATTTTTGGGTCAACTGGAAATTTTATACATTGTTTGGGTATCAGACGAGGTAATTTCTGAAACCAAAAGGTGGAATTCATTTGCTGAAGAAACATTAACTTATTAATTTATTTTGAAGACAGTATATATATAATTATTTTATTTTGGTAACAAAATATTTAAGAATGTGTTCAGACACCCACATCCAGATACAGAAAGATCCAGAAGACTATGCACTAAAGTGTTAAGAGTGGTGATCTTCGTGTGGTGGAAATGTTTCCATTTGTTTTTAGCTTGTGGGCATATAATTTCCTACAATTTACATTTACTGCTTCTATAACTAGAAAACAATTACTGAAAAGAAATTATATAAATGCATTACTTTGATTTAAAAAAAAGGCAAGCAGGCAAGCAAACATGCATTTGGGCAGTCAGTTTGCAGAATCAGTCCTGAAGATCTTTCAGGACTGAGCTCAGGAATAGAATTTTAAGTATTCTGGATATTCTGGTTTGGGGAATTATACCTTTCCTTTAACGACTGTTACAAAAACTCAGAACTTAGGAGATTAGTCATGCTAAGTAATGCTATATTGCTTCCCAATCTTTCACTTTTTCTTTCTAGCCCAGATTTCTTCAACCCAAAGCTCAAATCCTGACATCAATGTAAACACTTAAGACACAGTCCTGAAAGTATTTTTAATTCCTGTAAAATAAACACAAGTTCACTAAATAAGTTCACTCCAGCCATAACTCTGTCTTCATGTCTTTATTCCCGGCTACATCTTCTGCTAAGGAGCATTGCTGCAATGATAATCTGAGTATTAAAGATTAGTTATGACTTTTCAACTTCACTTATTTCTCTCCAAATCCTAACATCCACAGTAAGAAACACAAAAGTTGTTTTAATGCATATAGCAAAAAGAGAGCTATTCGTAAGAGAACACAGTAGGCAAAAAGGTACTGTGTGTACTCCCACCCTATCAAATGCACACAGTTAAATACTGAGTAACACAGAAAATGTAAGGAGCAAAACTGTACAGTGATCCTGATTGGAAGAAAAAATACTTTTCTCCTCACTTTACACATAGAGATATCTAAACTTATTACTTAAGATACTTAAGTACTTAATAATTAAGTACTTAATCATATATATTTTTGCCTAGAAACAAGTAGATAGGTGAATCATCAGATGCTATTCTGACTCTAATTTAAAGCTGAACATCATCTGTCAATCTAGCTGTCTCTTATCACACATTCTTTACCAAAACAACAACAAACCCTACATAGCTTTAGTTTCATAAAATTCCTAAATTCAAAGAGTGAATGTAAGGTCAACATATTTTTTTGGAAATTTGGGTACAATAAGCCAAACCTATCCATTCCATCTTTGGGAAGCTCTATTTCCTAGAAAAATTTCTCTAACTGAACTGAAATGATGTTTTATGTATCTTCTATCAAGGATGATGGCAGCACAAGCTGGCTAGAGGCAGTGGTGATACAAAGAGATTCAAGATCTATGAACTACCTGAAAACAACTTCATTTAGGAGTTCAGGAGCGTGCTGTTTAATTTCCACACGAATCTTCATAAATTTGATAAGGCTTGCTTTGTAGCCCAATATATGATCTATCCTGGAGAATGTTCCCTGTATGCTTGAGAAGAATGCGTATTCTGGTGCTGCTGGATGGAATATTCAGCAGACGTCTGTTAGGTTCATTTGGTCTATGGTGTTTTGCAGGCCTGCTGTTTCCTTATTAATTTTCTGTCTGAATGATCTATCCAGTGTTGACAATGGGGTATTGAGGTCCCCAACTATTATCATATGCTATTTCTCCATTCTATTAATATTTGCCTTAAATATTTAGGCGCTCCAATGTTAGGTACATATATACTTACAATTGTTATATCCTCTTGATGAACTGACCCCTTTATCACCACATAGTGACCCTCTCTGTCTCTCGTGACCAATTTTGACTGAAAGTCTATTTTATCTAAGTATAGCCACTCCTGCTTTCTTTTGGTTTCCATTTGCATGGAATATATTTTTCCATCCCTTCGCTTTCAGCCTATGTGTGTCATTAAAGCTAAAGTGAGTTTCTTTTTGTTCTTGAGGAAAATTAGCCCTGAGCTAACATCTGCCACCAATCCTCCTCTTTTTGCTGAGGAAGATGGGCTCTGAGCTAACACGAGCACCCATCTTCCTCTATTTTATGTGAGACGCCTGCCACAGCACGGCGTGACAGGCGGTGTGTAGGTTCGCATCCAGGATCCGAATTGGCAAACCCTGGGCCACTGAAGCAGAACGTGCGAACTTAACCGCTGTGCCACTGGGCTGGCCGCGTAAAGTGAGTCTCTTATAGCCAGCATACTGTGATCTTGTTTTTGTATCTTTCAGCCATTCCGTGTCTTCTGATTGGAGAATTTAGTCCTTTTACTTTAAAATAATTATTCATAGGTAAGGAATTACTATTTTCATTTTGTTAATTGTTTTCTGATTGTGGTTCTTTTTTAGTTTCTTTGTTCCTCTCTTGCTGTCTTCCTTAGTGATTTTTTTTTTACTGGTATGTTTTAATTCCTTTTCCTTTATCTTCTGTCTATCTATTATAGGTTTTTTCTTTGTGATTACCATGAGGCTTACATAAAATGTCTTATAGATACAACAGTCTATTCTAAACTGATAACAAGTTACCTTTGATTGTGATGCTGTATTTCTAATGATGCAGTCTGATACTGTTAGCATTTTCAGTAGAAAAGACACATTATCACTTCCAAGTCTAGTCACTTAAAACCCCAGAGAACTTCTATTCTTTTATTTATCAGCAACTTAAAGGATGCCTTCACTATTCTTGGTATTGGGCACATGAGGCCAAAAAGACATACAGTTCCCGTCCTCATGGAGTCCAAAATTTAATAGGAAAATAGTCATCACATAAACAATTTACAAAATTACAATTCTGATAAGGGCACAAAAGAGAAGTACTACAGGCTGAGAGCGTATACCAAGGTGAGACTGATCAATTCTGAAGTAAAAGGAAACAGTGCTTTGAGGAAGAGATATAATACGCAAAGACTAGATAAAAGTTGAGAACTGAGAGAAAGAGCAATAGTACAAGCGAAATCAAAAAGGAGCTTGGATGACAAAGCAATGAGAGAAGATCAGTTTGGTTCAAGTACAGTGAGGAAGGGAAAAGAGGATGTGGGATGAACCTGGAGGCAAGTGAGTGAGATCTTGCAAGACCTTGGAGACTAGTTTAAGGAGTTTGGATTTTATTTTAAGTGTAATTGGAGGCCACTAAATAGTTTGAAGCAGGGGAGCAATAAGAAGGGATTTATAATTTAAAAAGCAAATGCTTACTGTATTTGGAAAACTGATTTAAGAAAAGAAGAACGGATGTAGGGAGACCAGTTGGGAGGCAGGCTATGGCTGTAGTCCAGGCAGGGGATGATGGCAACATAGGCTAGTTTGAAGGCGATGGTGATACAGAGAGATTCAAGATATATTTAGGGCTTGATGACAGACTTTATGTGGGGGATAAGGAAGAAGGAAATGTTAGCCCTAAAGTTTTTTGCACGAAAAATAGAACGAATGATAGTGTCATTTTACAGAGATAGCAAATAGTTTCGTATATAAGAAGAGTTATCAAATTGGGCTTCCTCATCCTGAACTTGGGTAAATAATGTTTCAAACTTACTCCAAGACTTTTATCTTCATCCCTGTCAATTTTTTCATTTTTTGGCTTACACTTCTAGTCACTTCAGATATTTAAAAATCTTTAGTCTATCATCCAATATCTCCTGTTACTCCTCCCAGCTTTCTACCCTCCATACATTTGGTAAATCATACTTTGTAATCATTTACTAAGTTGTTATTAAAAATCTAAAATAGAGACAGGACTAAGTATTCAGCTCTTCAGTGCATCATTAACAATCTCTCTTCAGGTTGGCACTGATTCATGAAACAACACAACTGAGGCCTGTAGCCAGCACGAGCAATAACACTGAACGTGCAGGATGTTCCTAGTACTGAATGTCCACTATTTAATTTGGTCTTCATGATATTCGTTTTCCCATCCTCAAATACTCATTGAGCTCTTGTTACGTGTCAGGAACTGAGGTAGGGACTATTATCACCCTCCTCATTTTAGAGATAAGGAAACTCAGGCTCAGAGGTGAAGTAATTGGTCTTAAGTCACACAGTTAGTAAAGGGCAGAGTTATAATATGAACCCCAGTTTGGAGACTCTCCAGCACATGTCGTTAAATATTGAAGTTTTATTTGTACACTTGTATTAAATTTTCTTTTCTTTGTTTAATCCATTAGTACAGCTCTAATGTGTAAGTGACAATACACACACACACACACACACAGGCCATTAGGACTTCTTCTTTGTTACTTTTATCAAAGAACTTAGCATTATCTCTAATACATTTTCTAATTTCTACATGTTCTTCATGGTATCATGTTTTTAGTTTAATCAAGGGCTTTTCCCCCTTTTTCCTCCTCCTGTCCCCACAGTGAAAGTTCAGCTTCCTGATCAGATAATGCAATTCTTCTCTCTCTATCCCTCTTTCATGGAGCCAGCATTATAAGTATTCCTATTCAAATTCTAATCTCTTTATTAGGTTAGAAACCAGCTGTTAATTTTAAATGGTAGAACTCAAAGAAATCAAGATTTTATACAGGTGGAATTTGCTGTTCCATTTTAAGAAACATTGCTGTATTTCATAAATACTTTTTATAAAATGGGATGACAGAATTTCACAACATTCCATTTGGGCACGAATAACAATAGCAAACGGTTGCCAGGTTGGTAATTGAAGAAAATGAATGCAGATAAGATAAACAAGATTCAGAACCAACAGGACTCTTCCTGTTCCCATTTCCAAAGAAATGTTCCTAGAAGAAGAATGTCCTGGTAAAAAAAAACAGTAGCAAGTACAAAATTAACTGAGACTATATTTGCTCTTGCAATGCACTTTGGTTTTATCAGGAAATCAACTTCATCTCAGAAGTGAAGGTCCATGTCTAGGAGGTATATAAAAAATTCTCTGTCCCTAGCAAATCCTGATAAAAATTTTTTAGTTTAGACAAAGGACAGTTGTTTCACAAGGCTTATCAATGCAAGAAAATACAGAGCCAAGAAAATGCTACCAAAGCTCTAACCGACTACAATGATTGTCATTTTAAAACTTAGGAACGTGACAGAGGAGTTTTACTGAGCAGTCTCAGCGTTCTGCTTCTAACACATTGTGGGGTTTTCAAAAGCTGTACTTATTTCGTTTTAACAACAACAAAATGGCTACATCTACTTACTTTTCTCACTTAAATGCAAAACATGCTTCTTCAAACATCAAAAGAAATGTTTCCTAGGCAATGACATACCTAAGAAAATTCACTCACCTTTAAGTTTCTGGAGGTCCTCCTTCAAATCAGGCCCTGCAAGCATGAAGATACTTTCTGACACAGGATTCTTATCTGTAAGACTTTCATTGCTGGTATTTACAATGGCTGTACAGTTCAGTAATGCCACATCTCCTTTCCTGAGGAAGCCATTAGTAAATAAAGAGTAAGTGTAAAGAAGAGGAGGGTGATAAGAAAGCTAATTTCTAATTCTTTCGAAACATTCTATCCTCACTCCCTTCACAACATTGCTTTTGCTGGCTCACAAGTTTAAGCAATGGTAGATAAGTAGTTCCTGACTCAGAAAGACTAATCTACTTTTATTAGATAGATCTTTAACGCAATTGCTACAACACTGAAACTCACAAAACCAACATGCTATTCCTTTGCGTCTTTCATATTTCTTTTTCATTGTAACAGAATGCTTATAGAACTGAAAGTTGTTGGTTTAAAGAGTTTACACACAGCAGCATTATTCATAATAGCCAAAAAGTGGAAACAATCCAAATGCCCATCAACTAATGAACTAATAAACTAAATGTGGTATATTCAATGGAATATTATGTGGCCACTAAAAGGAATGACATACTGATTCATACTACAACATGGATGAATCTTAAAAACATGACACTTAGTCACAATTGATTCCATTCGTATTAAATGTCCAGAAGAGGGAAAGCTATAGAGGAAAAGTAGATTAGTGGTTGGCTAAACCTGAGAGATAGGCGGGCAGGGGGGATGGAAAGGGAATGACTGCTAACGGGTATAGGACTTTTGGTTGATGAAAATGTTCTAAAACTGACTGCAGTAATGGTTACACAACTTTGTGAATATACTAGAAACCACTGACTTGTATGATTTAAACTTGTGAGCTGTATGGTATATGAATTACATCTCAATCAAGTTTTTAAAAAAAGAAATGTACTACTACTAATACATGCAACAACATAACGAACTTTCAAATAATTATGCTGAATGAAAGAGGCCAGACTAAAAAAATGAGTACAGGATTCCATTTATATAAAACTCTAGAAAATGCAAACAAATCTACAGTTACAGAAAGATCAACGGTTGCTGGGGGATGTGGAGGCAGGGAGGGGCAAGAGGGAAGGATTGCAAAGGAACAAAAAAACCTTTTGGGTGATAAATATATTCAATATCTTGATTGTAGTGATGGGTTCATGGGTGTACACATACATCAAAATTTACCAAATTGTACACTTTAAATATGTGCAATTTACTGTATGTCAATTATACCTCAATAGAGCTATGCATATGCAAAGCAATATTTCAACAATGCTAAGGCTTACCAAAAAAAAAAAGAGTTTAGAAGAAATTATAAGGAAAAACAATTTAGAAAAAATTAAGATCATATCATGATATGATTTAGTCAAAGAATTACCAAAGAACCACTTTTCTGTTGATGTCCTTATTATAAAGAAAAGGTGATCTAATAGTGTCTTCCTGAAATGTTTCAGCTGCAGCATCAGAAGCATCTAATTCATCTTCACATGAGTTGCTCCAGCTTGGTAGCGTATCCACATCCACAAACTGGGAAGGTGCCCCCAAGGGATCCATGGAATGGGAACTTCAGCTTGTCTTTTTCCAAATTCCTCAGCAATTCAATATTCACTGGAGACTTTAGCTTAAGAGAAAAGAAAGAGATGTTTTAATAGAGAAGCACAGATACTACTTTACTTGCATTAGAGCAAAAACCAAAATTCTACTGTGAAAAGCTACAACAGTATATTGTGTGATTAGTCACTTAAATAGTCCATAAAAATCAATGTACAACAAAGAATTGCTACAGCTTTTCTAAAACAAGAAGAAAGGGGAATTATTTAAGCATAAATTCTTTTCAAAGAATTACAGCCATTAAAATAATCACATGGCCAGCAGTTCTACTTTCCAGAAACAGAGGATTATTCATTCAACATTCATTGAATGCCCACTATTGGGGGGAAAAATGCTAGGTGATGCAAGAGAAACAAAGATAAACAATTTGTACAATTTAAAGAGTTCAGTCTAATGATAATAAGGAGGATGTATTGAGTAAGACAAAATGAGAAGCAGGGAGGTCATTGCAATCAAGTAGTAAGAGAGAATACAAGTTTAAACTAGGCAGAAAAGGAGATAGAGGAGGAGGCATGGATTTTACAGGCAACATACAAAGGAAGAATTAACAGGATTTGACAAGTTATAAGATATGGTATATGAGACAGTGATGCGATGGAAGGTTGGTTGTAAAGAAATGCAGAAATGAGACGAGGAGGGTGATAGGAAATCACATAGCGTCAAGTACTACAGAGAGGTCACGGGAAATTTAACATGAGAAAAGTATACTTAATTTGCCAATAAGTCAGACAGTTGTTTCAGTAAAATGGTAGATTCATTCATTCAATACATCTTTGTAAGCATCTATGATGTGTCAGGTACTAGGCACTGTGTGTCCTAGGCACTGGGATACACTGGTGAATAAGACAGAGCAAGTCCCTGCCCTTACAGAACTTATGCTTCATGAAGAGGAGAGAATAAACAATAAACAAGCAAGCAAGCAGGTATCTAACAGAATGATGGGGGCAATAAGTATTATGAGAGGAAAGGTGATATCTGAGTAGAGAGCTAAATAAAGTGAGAGAACAAGCCATGGGAAGCTCTGGAGAGTGTTTCAGGCAGAGGAAATAGCAAGTACAAAGGCCAAAAGGTCAGGAAGGAGCTGGGTCTATTCCAGGAAGAGTGAGGAGGTGGTCTGGCTAGAGTAGAATGAGCCAGGTAATGAGTGGTAGGTGATGAGGTTGGTGAGACAGGGAAAGGCCAGATGTTGCAGTTTGTAAGCCACAAGAAGTTTAGATCTTATTGGAAATATGAGGGGAAGCTGTTAGAAGATCTTGATAGAGATAATGACTTAATAAAACAACATTTGAAAAGACTACTCTGGCTACAGTGGACTTGAGGGGGTGGGGGGCAAGAGTAAAAGCAGAGATCACAGAGAGCACTGCAGTAATCTAGGTGAGATGATAAGGGTAGTGAGAAACAGATAGATTTGGGATGTAGCTTGTATATGAAGGGTAAGGGAAAAGAACAGAATCAAAGATAACACCTAGATTTCTTGCTTGAGCAGTTGAATAGAGGGTAATGCTATTTACAGAAAAGGAGAAGACTAGAGTAGCTTGTGGGGTAGAGTGATAATCAAGGTAATTTTTCCTTATATATTTTTGTACGTGTCAAGTCTGAGATGCCCATTATATGGCCAAGTATTTATATCAAACATGCAATTGGCTAAATGAGGCTAGAGCTCAGAGGAGAGGTCGGGCTAAAAGCATAAATTTGGAAGCCTCAGCATATGTATGGTATTTAAAGTTAAGGGAATTGGATGAGATCATCAAGAGAGAAAAATGCAAAAAGAGAAAAGAGATGCAAAGACTGAGTCCTAAGGCAAAATTTAGAGATTGGAAAGAGGACAAGTCAAAAATGAGATAGAGAAGGATTGATAAGAATGGAAGGAACACCAGATAAGTATGGTAACCTAAAGACCAAGTGAAGAATGCAATTCAAGAAGGAACACTCAAGAAGGATCAGCTAGAGTTTCATGCTACTGAAAGGTTGTGTCATAGGGCCAAGAACTGATTAGTGGGTTTGGTAAGTTGAAAGTCACGCATAACACTGAATACACATGAGAGAAAACAGATGATCAGGGAAAGAAAGCTGACATGTGAACTACACTACTTGAGAAGTTTTTCTGTACGATCCTAACGTTTGTTGTTAAGAGTCAAGGAGAACGAGCATACTCTCTATACCTAATTCCTTGATGTTTCTTGCTGAGACACGTGATATTAATTGGAACGAACAATGGATCTGACACAATATGTTAATTCCTGGACCAACACTATGTGGTAGGAAATGTGATCATTTATATAACAATTTCAGAAAGGCCTTGTAGATTATACCATGATAAAACGGTATGAGAAGGCTATTCTTATTTGATACTAAGTACTCCTTTGAAATTATTTTGAAATAAAGAAACTAATTTTATCTAGATGTTGGTGTTAAGTCCATCCAATCGGCTTTTGCAACTAGAGGCAACCACCAGTTCTGCTGACCTGTTCACAAGTACTCAGACTTAAAGTGGACAAGCTGAACAGAGCACAAATGGAGATGACACTTATTTTCCATGGTTGAACTGCCTCAGGCTTAATGGAATGACACTTTGCAGAAATTCATAATTTCAAAAAACTATTCATAGACTTTTGATGACAATGACTCACGGCTAAAACTTAACCATAATTTAAAAAATTCTTTAAACACAGACTTAGTTTTCATTTTTCAAACTTGAATGCAAACTTTCAGGACAAAATTGCTTCTTTAAAATAATTTTTCTTTCTAACTCTAAGTAATACCCACATATACAACATTTGAAAAATAGTAAAAAGTAAGAGAGAAAAAAACTCTCAAACTTTGATGTAGTTCCTACCTTTTTCTATGATAGGTAAAATCACAACGTATGTACAATTTTGAATCTGGCTTCTTTAGTATTTTAAGGTAAATATTTCCACGTGCAATTAGACTGTGAAGCAGAAGCAGAAGGTACAATGTAAGAGTTTGGGCTCTGTTATCAGGAGGCCTGAGTTTGGGTCTAGACCCATCACCTAAGAGTTGCGTTATCCTTGACTCTAAGCCAGTTTTCTTATTTCTAAACCAGAGTAATACACCCTAGCGCTATTGTGAGGATTAAATGATATAATCTGTATTAAAATTGTAGAAGAGCACCTGGCACAAAGCAAGGCACAATAAAAGTTACTTTTCTAACTTTCTCAAAGCCAATGTGAAAGTCACGTGCACCACTGCTGAGATAAAGATATGCCTCCATGTGTGGCAAAGACCAAAACACTCACCGTCAAAGACTAATGAGCACCAAACAAACCAAACACAAATTGCTGAATTAAGATACACTCTTATCTCAATGTCTGCCCTTGTAATGACTTGTTAACCCCTAACACGTAGATCAATCCAACATCCACTTTCTCTGATTCTGCTCCTGTGTCACTATAAAAAAAAAAAAAATCAGTAATTATCCTATCTGCTGCCAAAACAAATGCATGCTTTCCTATGTCAGCTGGGCCCTTCATCAACACTATTAGGAAATTGTTTTAGTCATTCTTGGTTGACTCTCTATGCTATTCCATATAGCATCTATGGTAGACAGCCTGTAAAATGTGCTGCAGTGATACCTGCCTCTTGATATTAATGTCGCTGTGTAGATGCCTCCCATAATAAATAGGGCTGGACTATGCAACCAACAAGATACTGCAGAAACAACAGTGTGTGACTTCCAAAGATGAATCATAAAAGATATTGTGGCTTCTGCCATGCTCTCTCGTGGAATGCCTGCTCTGGGGAAATTAGTTCCCATGATGTGAGGACACTCAAGCAGCCCATGCAAAGGGCCCCATGGGGAGAAACTGAGAGTTCCTGCCAACAACCAGCATCAACCGCCAGGCATGTGAATGAATCACCTTGGATCTTCCAGCCCCAGCTAGGCTTCAAATGACTTCAGCCTCAGCTGACATCCTGACTGCAACCTCATGAAAAACGCTGAGCCAGAAACACGCAACTAAGCCACTTTTGACTTCCTGACCCATACAAACTGTGAGGTAATAAATGCTTATTTGCCTACTGTGTCCCAACCATCCATTCACTCAAGCACTGTTAGATGCTGAGTCTTGTCTAATGGAAGAGACAGACCCACAGAAATCACACAAACATATAATCATGGAAATGAATACTTAGTTAAAATCTGTGATAAGTGTGCTATAAAGAACAAGGAAGGAGCTAACTTGTAGAAGCAGAAAACGTCTCTTCCAGAAAGTGACAGTCAGACCAAAAGTAGCAGAATAGTTTTAGAGACAGAGGTAAGGGTAAATCTGGGAGCCTTAAGGTGAGAAAGAGCCCAAGATACTAAAGGAATGGAAAGAAGCGCACTGTGGCAGGTACAGTGAGCCACGGGGTATTCGATGTGTTACAAATATGCTTTCTAATCTTTACAATAATCCCATAAAGTAGGTATTACAACTCCTATCTTACAGTGAGGGCATCAAGATCCAAAGGTTCAATTACCAACTCAAGGTAACAACTAGTGAGTGGCAGCCTGACATCCAAATCGAAGACCAGTTGGCACTAAAACCGATGCCAATTCTGTTATATCATATCACATTGCCTCCCTTCTTTTCTTGATGCTCTAAGAAAGATCACCATTCAAATTACAGTCACCCACCACATAACGACATCTCGGCCAACAACAGAGAGCATATATGACAGTGGTCACACAAGATTAGCACCATATAAGCTAAGTGTGTAGTAGGTTATACCATCTGCGTTTGTGTAGGTACACTCTATGATATTCACATAACGATGAAATCGCCTAACAATGCATTTCTTAGAACGTATGCTCGTCGTTAAGCGATCCACGACTGTACCGTAACGTTCCTCCAGCTCAAAATCTATCTTCATTCACTCTTTCCAACTTCCAACTGATTTTAGGGTGTATTCCACACTTTTAAGCCTGCCAAATCACCTTCATTTAAGATTTTACTCCACTTGACTAGATCACCTCTAAGAGAATGTAATAACATCAATTCTCCCTTCACAACATCTTGATCTCTCCTTCCCCTCAGTCTTCCTAGTCTCAAAAAATTTTCCTACTTCATTTCTCCTTCAGAACATCAACTAAACTCCTCTCCTCATCACTTCACTTTTTAAGAGTAATCTGTTTTGTAGTTCTACTTCCTTTTCTTCCATTTACTCAACTTCCTGCAGTTTTGCTTCCATCTCTCTAACAACGCTAAGACTGTTCTTTCAAGGTCAACAGTAACTCCCCAAATGTCAAATTCCAGAGCTAATCAAATTTTAGTGATTGATTATTCCCTTCCTGAAACTCTGCGATCTTCTTTGACAGTACAGATTAGTGGTTCTCCTACATCTCCAGTCACACCTTGTCAGTATAGTTGGATGGATCTTCTTTCCAGATCTTAAAAGTTACTGTGACCCACAAGATATTGGGTGTTAAATGGGTAATAAATAATCCCTGTTATTGTAGGGCAAAGTTTAATGACATTATACAGAAAGTGCTATGGCGTTTAACAAACAATGAACTCTTTTTCAGCTCCATCTCTAATCAGAAATGGATTTTTCTCACCAAAAAGAAATTTAAATCTCCCCCTCCCCCAACACACACACTTTGGCAATAAAGCAAATGGAGCAGCAAAGCCATGCTAGGCAGGAAAACCCGACCCCTGATCCTTAAGGAACAGTGGTTCTTAACATTCTTGGGGTCACAGACCCCTTTAAGAATCACACGAAGTTAAAGAACTTTTCACCACCCAAAATGCGAGTATATGAGCTCATACAAGCACAGATTCGCAAATAAATTTGAAACGGTTCCCCAATTCAGGTTAAAAATCCCCGTGATAGAAAGAATGCAAACACAGTGCTCAGGTGAGGGAGGGAGGAGGGGAAGGCTACAGTACTCTAAGGCTATAGCCAGAATTTTGGATAACATTAAAGAAGAGCAAGACTTTCCACTGAAAATCAATTGATCAGTTCTGTACTTTGAACAGGTTCATAAGCAAACACTAAACCTTAGTGGAAAAAAAAGTCCTGAAGCAAGACATTTATGTCCCAGGATCAAAAAGGCCACAGGAGACAAACAGATGATTCTAGGATGGATCAGATCTATTCCTTAGCCCTACTAGGGTGATCTTCATTACCTTCCTGGACAAGGACCTAAACACAAAGAGAACTGTGCATCCTTGATAATTCAAACATATGGTCAGTATAAATGGTTCTCATTACACTCCAGTTTGGTTTTTTCCTCAAATCTTGATATCTTTTAGATTAATCCTCAGTTTTTTAAAAACAAATCTTGTCATCTTTTACTTTAAGAAGTCCTCTAAATAGTCCTTTATATGAACCATTGGATTGGTCAGAGAGATTAGATTTTTACTGTTTAAGACTGCGCAGAACCAGGCAGAACACCTCGCATCACTGTCTCAAAATATCGTGATTTTTGTCTGGATAAAAAGAAAATGGTATCATTTAAAAGAGAAAAACAAGAACTGCAAATATGGTTACTTGTTCTTCAAAATGTTCACATTGATAAGACAGGCCTGCATAAAAGTACACAGAATTGGTCCATGCTCTTGACCTCCACTAATTACCAGTTCTATTTCACTGTTTTTGTATAAATTACAGGCTTACCATTCCTTATGTCTTTGTATATCAACATCTAAAACTTCAGGGTACATTAGATACTGTACATAAACCCCCACCCCAAAACAAAATCTATTATATTTAAGAATCATTCTATGCAAATGGAAAGAATGACATTCTTTTTAAAGTTACTTAGATGGAAAAATAAATATGTCAACAATAAACACAGTATAACAAAAATACTTCGGAGCCATGTCAATGGCCCAGGTCAAATTTAACGCCATCATTCAAAAACACCCAAAGCACATGCTTTGAGTGAGTTAGTAACACCTTCCTGTTAAAAGAACTTTACTATGTTTCAATTTTAAGTACTAATACATTGAGCAATTTGAAACTTAAATAAGAAATCAGGGTTATACTCTTGAAGCAGTGTATTGGGAATTTTATAAGATGCATTATCTAAACACTCAATCACAGTTGCTCTTACATCAACTTTTATTAAAAATTATTTTTTCCATTTGTGGTTGTCCCATCCCATAATATTTAATAATGTTAAGAAAAAATTTTTTTAAAAAGGTAAAATCATGACTCATTCAAATATAAAAATGAACATGTGTTTAAGATTTTAACTCACAAGGAAAGCAGGTAGATAGTAAATAAAGCGAATCCCCAAATTGGACACATTAGTAGATCAGGAATATTGAAAGGAATGTACAAGGAGGCAAAACTTCCAATGAACCTCAAAGGAGACAGAATTTCCATGTCTATAGACAAACATTACTTGTTGCTGACATTAGGTATCTACAGTTTACACAGCTGTAAAATAGCTTTCTTAGAAGTAGAAAATCCAAGGGGTGTCATCTAGATGGCATGTAGACTATGAAGTTTTCTACTGAAGCACACATTTTTCCCTATAATAATACAATGCACATCACCTATAGGAGATATTAACCATACACAGCCACTTAAATGCTCCCTTCCCCATCAAACTTATTGAAATAATAGTCTGTTGCCACAATTTCCTTCCTTCTCATTCATCCAACCTGCAGTAACCTTGTTTCAAAACACCTATACTGCTACATCTATTTACAGTCGCAACATATCCATTCTCTACTATTGTAATTTTCTTGAATATGGAAGACTAGCTGAATATGCGAAAAACTCAAGAAACGTCTGAAGAAAATCAGATAATGTAGATAAAAGTCTAATTTCTAGCCTGGCTACAGATATCTTGTTCAATAAGCGAAGGCAGAGGCTTATTTCTTTTGTATAGCTATCTGTTAGCTTTAATTTTCCACAGCTACAGACATCAGAACTCATTTCTGAACACTTCTATGAAGTGTGAGAACAAAAGCAGACAGAACTGCAAGAGAGCACAGACAAAATCATTCTTTGCCAAGGAAAGGAAGAGAGTTTTACAAACTGAGGACTATAACCCAGGAGTTGTAGCCTTTGCAAGGGAAGAAAGCACTACAGAGAAAAAGGATTCTCAGCACAGTTACATAGCATTTCCAAACAAAGAGACACACATCAAGCCTGACAGGGGTACATTCTTTCAAGGGTTCAAGGAGATATTTTGTTACAGATTAGGACATACACAGAGGGTCAACATGACCCTGGTGTCATGGGATGGGAGACTTATCTTCAAAGACTACTAGGGTCACAAGAAGGGAGGCATCAATTCTTATCTTCAAAGAATGCATTCTTTACTTTAGGGTAATGATTAAAGCAGATGTACAAGGTATGTCTGACAGGCCCTAAGTCAGGCTTCTGTGGTTCAAATAAAATTTAGGCCAAATCAAGTTTAAACCAGAATGGCTTCCCCATACACCTCAATATATAAAATTGTCGTATATGAAGAGAAAAGCTAATTCCCACCTGGTGACAGAGCACCTAAGCCTCAATTACCAAGCAAAGAGCAGTCAGCTCTGGTCACTTCCCCCTCAAGCGGCCACTGAGCAGAAACACAAAGCCACACCAATGTCACTCCAGGGACTGCGGAGATCCAGACAACTCAGCATCCTGGGCTCACCGTCTCCCCAGCCCTGACTCCAGCTGCTCTCTGTTCGTGGAATGCCCAGACCACACGGGCGGCAACACAGACTCGACTCCGGGGGCTGTGACCGGCCGCGCTCCCGGCAGCGCTCCCGGCCGCCCCATTTCACCCGGGCCCGAGGGCGCGCGCCTCCTCAGGGGCTACAGCACCACTGCCCCTCGTGCCTGGGTCTGCCTACCCTCTCTCCTCTCGACGGTAAGTCGTCCCCGGCAGCGCCTCGGGCGAGAGGAACGCAACCAACAGCTCGGGAAGAAGCGGCAGGCTCATTCTTCCAGAGAGCGGACAGACTAACCCTCTCGCCTCGCACTCCCAGCCCAGGCCGAGTCCCGTGCGCCTCCGGCCGCGCCCCCGGCCCGCTCCGCCCCGCCTTCCCTCCCAGCCTCCGTCCCGCCTCTCACAGCACACCAGCGGTCCCATCCGGGCGGCGGGCGGGGCGGGTTAAGTTCCTCGTAGAAAGCGGCCGCGCGGCATGCCCGGACAGCCCTTGCCAGGAGCTCGGCGGGTAAGACGAATCAAAGTCCCAGGAGGCTGGAGGGACCAGCTGCAGGAGCTCTCGGCGGCGAAACTCCGGCTTCCGCTCCCCGCCGGCCCTCGCCAATCAGAACCCGGCTCTTACGTCATTTCCTCCTGGAAGGCAAAGGGAACGTCGGGCGGAAGAGAGCCCTGGAGCGGACCCGGAAGGGGTGGGTCCCGTGGGCGGGCCCAATCGGCCCGGAGCCTCGTGGAGGCCGGGATAAGTACTGTGGGTGCTCGGTGGCCGAAGGGCTTTGCTCTGCTATTCGGGTTTGGCTGGTCCTGGCTGATGAGGCGGGGGGATTGGGGACCGGTCTCTAGGGTGAGGGGGAACCTGGGCGACTGCGAGCGTCCCACTGCCGTGCACGGGCTCGCCTGAGGATCTCCGGCAGCGTGGTTCGTGTGCGGAACCCTCGTCATCCTCTCCTGACTGAAGAGTCGGTTTTAGGGACATCCGACAGGTCTGTTACTACCGCTCAGCACTTCTCTGCATCATAGAAGCAAATGCTTTGGGGGCTGTGGGTTAGGAAGCAGGGATGATTGGGGCGCGGAGGAAGATTAGATCGTGAGCTTTCTCCAAAAGGCGTCGAGATCTGTGCAAGTGAGACACAAGCGACTAGTGCCAAGTTTTATGGAAGATAGTTTCAGTATTGAGGCAATGGAAAAGGCTGAGAGAATTGGACTAGCCCGGAAGGAAGTGGGCCTCAGAGGATAACGCTGGTTGGAACAGGTAGATGGAGAATGCATGTTATTCTAGGTGCGAGAAACAATATGAAGAAGGCAAAGTGGCAGGACGAGGAAGGAAATCAACTAGCCCGACAAGAGAGCGGATTATGCGAGAAATAAAGAAGGATAGAGAAGTTGAGTTCTTGGAAACTGCAAATAATTTAGCCCTTTCAAGGGCATTGGAGTAGGGACAGTGCATTTGAAAAGAGTAGTCAGGTAGTGTTATAACTTGTAAATGAAAAGAATGAAAAATAATTAAGCGGAGGTGCTAGGTAGAAAACTAACTCTATAACTAGTATTAGTGTGTGTAGATAGGACTGAAAATAGAGCTGTGGGTGTCCCTGGGCCTAGGCATGCTATATGAAGTCTCTAAGGAAACTACTATGGAAGGAGTTGATAGAAGGCCAAAGACTGTCATGAGGAACAACTACAGCAAAGGGGCTGGAGGAATAAGATGAATTGAGGAAGAATTGATCAGATGACCTAGGGTAAGAACATTATCACCATGTTAATATTATCTTTCCGTTATTTTTAACTGGCTTTACGTTGGTTCCTATGAGAAGAAAAATGAAGCCAGTAAGTGATTATTAAAAGAAAATATTAGCAGAGGGTTGGCGTTGAATATTTTTCTGTTAAAGTAGACTAAAACAGCAGATTGTAATCAGAAAGATCCTGTAGAGTTAAAGCAAACAATCCAACAACAAAAAAACAGCTCCAAAAAAGGGCTGTACCTCCTGTTTAGTATTGTTGTATTTTTTAAGTTGTATGGGTCTTTGGGGGCATATTTTTCACTCTTCCATATCAAGAGCAGACAGGCTTGACTTGTTATCTCCTTCAACTGTTGTCTCTTTTGTGCATAACCGGTGTTTTCAGTGAATTTGATTTAGTGCAGGAACTGCGGCATCTTTCAAAAATAAGGTGCCAAGTTGCTGTACCATTTTTCTGTGCCAAGGGGAGGTGGCTGCCCTGATTTGGAAATCAAGGACAGACCTGCATGTACTAGAACAGTAGTTCTCAAAAGCAAGGAACCACAGCAGCAGCAGCATCACTTAGGAACTTGTTAGAAATGAGAAATCTTGGGCCTCCCCCCAGACCTACTGAATCACACAGAAATAGGCTCTGGGGAGGTAAGGTGGAGGTGGTTCCCAGCAGTTTCTCTTCAGAAGCCCTGAGGTGATTTGGATACATACTAGAGTTTGAGAACAGCTGTGCTAGAAGGTAAGTGCTGTGAGGTCAAGGATTTTGTTTTACTCAACATTATATCTCTAGTGTCTCGAACAGTGCCTGTCTAATTGGTAGGTTTACAATAAATGTTCGTTGATAAGTATTGTCAGTCTCAGGGTAAAAACTCTGTTGTGGTCAAGTGGACAGAAGCAAGTAGTTTAGCAAGTAGTTTAACTCACAGGTGGACATGACAATGTGACCAGTTTGAAACTTGAGGAATGAGAGATTGCATGTTGAGTCGACAGTGAATAAAAAATAAAGATGTCCACGTATTTTATGTCAGTAATTTATTCAGTGTAAAGAAAGGTTAGGAAGCCCCAAGTTACATGCCTTTAACTACATGATAAACAGTCGGTATTTGCTAGCCTAGCAGAACCAAGGTACCCAAAGAACTGAGTTTTCTCTGTTTGCATGTGCAGCTGCCTTACTTCTGGTATCAGACATTACAACATGGGGCTCACCAAGCAGTACCTACGCTATGTTGCCAGTGCAGTCTTTGGCCTTATTGGCAGCCAAAAAGGTAATATTGTCTTTGTGACACTTCGTGGTGAAAAAGGACGCTATGTGGCAGTACCAGCCTGTGAACATGTTTTCATCTGGGACTTAAGGAAAGGAGAGAAGGTAAGCCAGAAGTCATCCAGGTTGATATTGATTTATGGATATTTGAGGATGGAGAGGCAGAAGTGGGAGTGCTCTGATTTATCACACACAAATTTTTTTATGTGTGTTCCCCTAGGAGAGAAATCTTTTTCCTTTGGGTCTAAATAGCCAAGTAGCAAGTTCTCTTGTATCCTTCTACACTAAATTATGAAAACCACAACCAAGTAGGAGCTTACCTCTTAAGTATCTATTTGTAGTGATATTTACAGGAAATTGGTAATCATTATTCCTGGTATGTTTGTTTTTCTCTACTTTACCAGTTCTCTATTTTTCAAGTTCTTCTATTTGCCCTCACAACAAGTTATAGAATATTAGGTATTTAAAAGGACTATTACTCTTCTCTGTTGACTGAATCTTTTTCTTACTTGTACAGGTGAGGCCGGAGGGTTGTTAAACTAAGCTTTGATACTTTGTATGACTCTGAATTCCCTTAGCCTACCACTTTTGCCGAACCCAAAACAAGCATTTTCTTCTTGTCCACTCACTATGTGACCCCGCCCCCCCAAGAGATTAATACTTTGATACTTGCTGCTACCTGGGTCCCTTGGGGATAAACCACTGTAGCATTGTGGTGCCATGAGGTTAGTTTCCTACAAGATGGGGTTCAGTTAAAGCAAGGATGTGTTTATAACTCTTTATGAAAAGTCATTTGTTGTTGACGTGGGATAAGGACTTAGTAATTTTTTCTATTGCCTGGGAAAGTTTTGCATGTATTATGCTAATGTGGAGCTTTGGAGAAAATAATTTTACATTTTCTTGACTGTTTCATTGCCCAGTACAAATAATAATTCCTATATTAAAGAATTGGAGATGGGTTGCAGAATTTTATAACTGTTCCTAAGAGTGATTTAGAATTATTGCTGCTCTTAATTTTACTGTACTTTATTATTCCTACACTTTTCCCTGATGACATACTTAACTCCTCTACACTGTTTTTGATTCTTATGATTTCAGATCCTCATCCTTCAGGGGCTTAAACAAGAAGTCACTTGCTTGTGCCCCTCCCCAGATGGGCTGCACTTAGCTGTTGGTTATGAAGATGGGTCTATCCGAATCTTTAGTCTCCTGAGTGGGGAAGGAAATGTGACCTTCAGTGGACACAAAGCAGCCATCACTTCCTTGAAGTATGATCAGCTAGGAGGCAGGCTGGCATCTGGGTCCAAGGTGAGACCTTGAGTCAGATGCCCAGACTTTGATCCTAGTAAAGGGATATAAGTCTTATGCTGAAGCAGGTTGTTCACAAAAATTGTTTGAGTGAAACTGTGGGCATTTGGTGTACAAAATAGTATAGATGGTAGAAATAAATGAGAACGATGGGTATGAATTGGGAGGTTCCTTTTGTTTCTTGTCATATTGTTTGATAAAAGCCTATTAAGTATAGGAATAAGGTAAGGATGCCCATGACAACTGTTATATAACATCACTGTGGAAGTGCTACCCAAAGCAGTACACAAGGAAGAAAAAAAGGTTCAAAATGATAATTCTTTGCCATTGAGTTTGGTAAAATCGGTAGCTTTGCAGTATCTCTAAGTCATCAGTTAGAAAATATAATGTAAAAAATTCCATTTGCAATGGTATGTCAAGTAATAGACAGAAAAATACTGTGAAACTTTACTGAAGTATGTAGCAGAAGACTTGAATAAATAGAGACACAAACCATGTTCTTCAATGAGAAGACAAAGTGTTGAAAAGATGCTAGTGTTTCCTAATTAATTTATATAGTTAAAACGATTTAAATAAATATCCCAAAGGTTTTTTATTGTTGTTGTTTTAGAATGTGACCAAATGACTTAAAAGCATGTATGGAAAAACAAATGAATCAGAAACACCTGAATTTTGGGGAAGAAGAATCATAAAAAAGCCTTTCAGATTTTTTTTTCAGGGTTAGATTGTTTTTTAGGAGGTTTCAGATGCTAAAATGCATTATGAAGTCATACTGTAAAATGTGTTATATTCATCTGGTATCAATACAAAATAGTCAGATTATAGCAGCTAAACAGGAATCTCAGAAAGAAATTCACTTTCATATTCCTAATGACCCCATTTTAAGATGACATTTCTGATGAGTAGAAAAATGATTGAATAGTTATAAAATGATACTGAAGACAATTGGCTAACTGTGTGGGGGAAAATCTTAAGTTAAAGCTTTACCTTATGCCATATACCAAAATGAGTCAGGTTAAAGACTTAACTATTAAAGAGTGATATTTTAAGTAAACT